TTCTATCGTGTGCAACATCTCTATATGATTTTAAATGAAAATAATGAAATAAACCATTTATATTATGTGTGACTTTAATATTAATATAATATTTAATATTCTACAAACAATTGTTTCCAATTAATATGGATTTTATATATATAATGATACCTCCGCAGATCAATTCATGGAGTCATAATAAGTTTTTTAAAACTAATGAAATTGTTGACTTTTTTCAAGATTCTCATAGAGCTGCAGCAGATTGCCGATTGTACAGGTAAATACATATGTATATATATAGATGTGTATACATATACTGTATATTAATATATTATTTACATATATTCCATTGTTTTTTATCCATGCCACAGCGAGCAAACGTTTATTTAAACGAGTGTATTGCAATTATTTTGAAATTTATTATTAAATTAATTTTAATTGTAATAATGCACATGTTAAAATGTCCACTTTTTGTGGTCGTCTCTTATTTTTTTTATTGATTTTAATTTATTTATTCAACACTTTTACTCATACGCACACGTGTAGTTAACATGTGTAGCCAGCGATAATCATTTTCATCGGCGAACTGAAATTAAATTAAAAATGAATTTTATGCAAAAAGAGAATTTTCAATGTTTACGGTTAAGTTGCCTCTACGGCAAATATACGCACACACACAGACACACACACACACACACATTGGCGCATAGCTGACCACATTTTATGCCTCATCTAATTGCAAGTTGAGTTGGAATCAGAATTCATTTCACGCCTGTTTGTGGTGTGTGTGAGTGTGTGTGAGTGTGTGTTTGTGTGAGTGTGTGTTTGTGTGTGTTTGTGTGTGTGTGTGTGTGTGTGTGTGAACGTATATTTTAATTAACCCAAAAGCCAAACAAATGTCGCACAACGGGGAAGCGTGTGTGGGCGTTGCTTGGGGGATGCGTAGTGGGCGTGTCTGTGTCAATTGTTATTACGTGTGATTTGTAAACTAATACAAGTAAGACCTGGCTAAGCTGTGTCTGTGTATCTTTATTTGTGTGCTGCAAATTTTTCAACAGATTGTGTTGCCTACTTTCAGGCGAGCCAAGAAGAACAACAATCGCATGAGAATGGAACGTAGCTCGTTAGACCAAAACGGACGTGCTTAAAATTTCAGAAGCCCAAACACACACACACAGACACAGCACAGTCACGCACTTGTAGGCATTTTGTAATGAGTGTGTTTGTGTTTGTGCGTATCCTTTATGGATTAAATCCGCATGCCTGCGGTCGGCCACAAGATCAACTGTTGGCAGAAGTATGTCAACACGAGAGTACGACGTCCGGCCAACGATGAGCTCACAGCTAGTGGTCATAATGGTCGACCCGTTTTCTGTCTGTGTGTGTGTGTGTGTGTGTGTGTGTGTGTGTGTGTGTGTGTCTATACGTGTATACGTGTGTTTGTGCACTGTTGTGCTAATAATGACGCTTTAAGTGAGCGTGTGTGAGTTTTGAGTGTTGCAACAACAAGGATAAGCCACAGTGCGTCATTTACACTCGTCGCAAGCAACATGTTCAACATTGATGCTGCAACGCCATCCTCAGTTTCTTGTGGCCGGTCCAGGCACATTTTCTCGTTGTTGTAATCGTGTTTAAATGCACAATAGCTCAATTAAAATGTAATGTCATTAAACAAATAACAGTTTGTTGATTGTGTGTTGCATATAAATTGCATACAATAAATTCGACAACATAATTGGCCTACTCGAATGCAAAAATGCATTTAAATTGATCGAAATGAATAACAATAAAATAGCTTTAAAGGATGTGCAAGATGTGGACTCTAAAGAAGTCAAATAGAATATATTATCTTTATCTCAGCAATGATCCTTAAAATATCTAAAAATAACTTATACATTTATAATTAATATTCATTTTACTTTTATTTGAATCAATGTCCAATTTAGAAAATTATATGACTATGCAAAGGGCAGCGCCAACCAAATCTGGTATTTCTACCTTTCAAATAGTGGGAGAAATGCAGTCTGATATATTTTAAGAATGGAAATAGGACCCCAATTTGAACACTTCGTCTGAATCGTGTACATCCGAATATAGACTCAAAGTTTGAAGTATCTAGCTTTATAGCTGTACAGATGGACGAACTCCAATAAAATCTTATACGTTCGAAATCAGAGTGCAAAAATTGCAAATGCTTGAAATATACGCATTTTATACTTTTCGCACTTCACTTAATATTTTCCACCACTTTCGATATGACATCCAAATTAAAATTAAAATTAAAATTAATATTTTTCACATGAATAAAGTATTGTTGTTCTTTTCTGTATCTTAAACCAGATATATTCTATAAAAAGGTTAACAAGAATGTCTACACCAATCTCAATCCCATAACTTAAAGCTCATCTTTCCAACGATTGTTTCAATGGAAGCTAATTTATTAATATTGACTAAGCTAGTAATGCTGATCAAGAATGCATACTTATGGGATCAGAGGTCCGAGAAGTCTCTTTTAATGCATTACAATTAATTTGTTAATTTCTTCAATTTCTTTAAAAAATATTACAATCTGCTATTGATATAATCAGAACCGATTTCAATTCCGAGGTCATGTTTTGTACTATGTTAATTTGATATGCACTTCATTTATTCAGCAACGAATACAAATAAAAATAGTCTGTAATATTGCTTAATCGAGTTTACTAACGTCTTTCGATGCGTTAATTTTCAGATGTCAAACATAATTTGATGACTGGTTTAATTTAATGTATTCACACAATTGAGCCGAATATTATCAATTGTTTGCCAGTTAAAATTTAAACACATAAATATCGCTGTGTGGCATAATTTCTTTGCATATTTTCTCATTACCAATAATATGGTGTGTATATATATATATATATATAATATATCCAATAATCATCGCATCCAACCTTTAGTGTGTTAACGGACACATTGCTGAATGGTAGTCATAATTGAGGTTCTGAGAATGATGTGCATTTCATGAATTATACGAGGAAGTGCTGCGGCGTGTATAAATATGCCTGCAACTGTGTATGTTTGTGTAGTCTACGTGTGCGTGGAGTGTGTGTGTGTGTGTGTGTATGGGTGTGTGTGTGTATGGGTGTGTATTTATGCGGCTGTCAGGACGATAAACTCGTATTCAATATGAATATATGTTGAAGTCCTTGAGCAGGAAGCGAAACTGACCCAACACACACCCTCCAAGTGACACACACGCACACACACACACACACACACATGCAGAGACACGCACACATCATGGCTGAATTGTTGGTCAATGCATTGAGGCAAGTAATAAACTTATTGGCCCAACGGCTTTCCGTTGATTGTTCGCATATACGGCGCACAATATGGCGTCAGTCAGTCGGTCAGTCAGTTAGTCAGGGAGTCGGTGAGATAGGCTGACAGACGAATAGAGCAGAGTCAGTGCCACCCACAGATATGACCCGCTATATCCATGACCAGGCAATGTCGTTAATGTGGAACTGTTAAACAGATAATGACCGCCTGGCATTGGCCGGGTCGGGGGCATTTCGACATGGATATTGTGTATTGGACATGGACATGGACAAGAACCTGAACCTGAACATGTGGCTGGCCTTGGCGTATTGGCCATTACTGCACAGTGTATCAGTGTATCCCGCCCATGCAGGATAATGTGGATGATGATGATGATGATGTGATTGTTGGCTGCATGCGTATGCGGAAACCAGACAACTGTCATGTCTGAAATTCTGATGCATTGAAATATAATTATTGGGAAATGTGCGATTGTCGTTCGGTTTCCGTTTACGTGAGTCCACACACACACACACACACACAAACACATACAATTGTAATAGGTTATGTGAATATGTATCTGCACTTGTACACTTTGTAATACACCGCCAACCTATCCCCTCTGCTTGTACCCACAGGCAGTCACCGTATCGATTATGTTTGGTGTTGTTGTGCTGATATTGCAGCGCGTGGATGCCACCGCCCATCACCCACGCATGCACACATCCGTTACCTTTGCCACATAACATCATAATTTATGCAAGCCAAATGACATAACAGTTGCAATATTATATACAGAATATATCTAGGAAAATACCATGCATTCAGATATATACTTTACAGATACAGTATGATGTTATGACATCTCCTGTGGGCGGTAAACGCTCACTGCTCACACACTTGTATCTGCATTCCACATTTGTATATGCTCGTAATTAACATATTAACTAACACCAATTAAGTTGCGGCCAAAGTGAATATACAAATAGATTTTTATGGGTTTACCAAAAGAATATGTATACTGATATATATTTATCATAATTATCAATGGAAATACCAAATGCAAAACAACCCAACTGCTTTTTGCAATTGATAAAATCCTGACATAAATTTGAATTTGGGATATCGATTGTTGTATAATAATGTTGTATGGTTATGGTAAGACATCGCGGCCAAGAATCATCTACAGAGATAGAAATCGTATTAAAATTAAGTCCAACAAAGTCAAACAAAATCTGAGACTTAACAAAGAAATCGACTTACTAGAAATAAGAGCAACTTACAGACCTACTCCGATTTTCCTTTATGAGGAGGTAATGTTATTCAAGAGTTGTGTTGATAGTTAATACTGCGTATATCCTATACTCTAAAAAAAAATAATAATAATGATAACAAAAAAATAAGTTACATTATAAGCAACTGATTAAGCGTTAGATATTTCACCTTAGAAACTGAATATGTGCCAAAATTCAATGTAAATCTATAATAAGTAAAAGTAAAATATTTCCACTTTATTTGTGTACAATAAATATTACATTTTCCTAATATCCCTTTAAAACATTTATAGAGACTTCTAAAGTAGGCTTCTTAAAAATATACATGCGAGTCCTTAGATACTTAAATATATAAATTGTTTATTGACTTAAATTTTTGAAATAGGCATAAACAATTTTCTTTTATTTTGTACTCAAAATATTAAATTTTATCTATTTGAATATAGCAACTATTTAGCGCTTAATTATCAGCGAGCCCAATAAGATGTCTGGTGACTTTGATCATTTGCGGTAAGAACTTTTTATATAGTCACCAAGAGTCCAAATGTTATACCAGAGACCATCCCTTCCAGCGACACTGAGACAATGCGATCGGAGTCGTCGATGACCATGAGCAATGGAATCATAGTGGCCATCCATTATAAAAATGGAGTCATGTTGGGCGCCGAGAAGACAGCCACGATTAACGGTGTGGTGATCTCCAGGACATGTCCAAAGATTTTTCGGTTGCATAACAACATTTAGTAAGTGGATTGGAATCCCAGTGGCAAATAATACCTAATCCGAGACACTTTCACTTTTAGCTGTGGCGGCAGTGGTTCAGCCAGCGATATAAGCAATGTAACACGCTCGATTGAATCGCAGCTGCAGGTGCTTCATCAAAGGATCAGTCAACGTCGCGTGCCCGTCGTCAGTGCCAAGAAACTGCTCAAGAAAACGCTGATGCACGGTTTTGCTAAAGTCTTGGCCAGCTTCATTATTATCGGCGTGGACAGGTTGGGCATGCATCTGTATAGTCTGCACTGCGATGGCACCTCGGAGTACATATTGTTCAACGCAATAGGATTGGGCCGGTTTGCTGCGATGGCAATACTGGAGAATCGTTGGCATCTCGACATCGACGAGAACGATGCACGTGATCTAATCATCGATGCCATCAACGCCGCCTTCTCAATTGGTGGATCATCCGGATACAACATCGATCTGTGCATCATCCGTAAGGATTTCAGCGTGGAGCACCGCAGCGAGACAATACGCCCCATCGCAAGTCGTGAAATGCAGGAAGTGAACAGTGTACAGACGCCCCTTAACTCCGACTGGCTACGTGACGTCACAATTACAAAGGAAAATGTGATTATATTAACGCCACCGTCGAGGCCACCGTCACCGTCACCTTCACCGTCACAAACACCAACAACGCCAAGAATCAGACCCTTTGAACTTCGCACAACAACCGCCACCATGCAGCTTAACGAAAGTCCACCAAAGAAGAAAAAAAAGCTATAATTCAATTACCAATTGCGGATAAACTCAGTGAGTACTTACCACTATCAAATAAATAATAACAGGTTTATATTTAAAAGTGTAAGCATAAATACAATTAATTATACTATAAAATGTATGTAAAAGTATAAATTAGTTTTTTCAGGGGGATTTAAATTAGCTTTCAACTGACACATTTAAGAAGCACCACACGAATTGAATCCGAATGATGAGCGATGAGCACCTGCACTAGAAATCATGAAGGAGAGAAGGCACTCCACACTGGCTCCGACTTCATCTCACAAAAGATTATTTGCCACTGAAGAGAGATTATTAACGTATATGTTTGTGATTTTAACAACAACAAAAAACAAGAGAGAACGACCATCTTAACCCCGCAGAAGATTAGATACTCTTACAGACCGGAGTCACATTAAAATCATTTCAATTTGACGTTAAACTAAAAAAAAACACCAACGTTTATTGCTATAAAGGCTTTATAACATAGTAGGCCGTTGTTGATAATTCTTTGTCGAAATATAAGAAGCTTCATAAAACTCATAGCTGATATTTTCAATTTGGATAACTTGATAAACAAAGATGTTTTTATGCATGAACATGTCTCTAAACCGATTGTTGCTATGAGATCTATATGATATTCGATTCGGCCAGCTCCGACATTTGTACTGCCTGCAGCAAAAAGGACGGACAAAAAACTGACCAACTATGCCACCTTGAGGGTATAGGGTATACAAGGGTATAGAAAGCAAGTTTAATTTTTAAATACATTGAATGTTGTGTATTTTATGACATTTATGTACTTTATTTTTGATTTTGATTTTTTTGTTTGTTTATGTGTTAACAAAATGAATGTACATAAAAACGTTTGTTTTTAACCATAAAATTACATAATTCATACATAATTTGACATTGCCAGTTGCCCATCGATTCGCGCATATTTCATATTTCATATTTCAAGTTTCTCGTTGCTTAATTATGTAATCAATCGTGGTTTTTGTGAGAAGCCTTTAAAAACATGCGATTTCGAATTGTTATTGCACTAAATGTGAGTTTGAGTTCCGAAAATTTGCTTACATATATCATACTCTGTACAGGTAAAAGATTTATACATTTCTGTTGCTTGGGAGCTGTCTACAAATCCGTAATTTTATGCATTCTGCTATGTGGCTTCACATACATAGTATACTACTATATTCACCTATTTATTTGTTACCTGGAGCCAGCAAACTCGCACTACAATTGAGTTGTTTGCAGTATTTAAAAATGCTCTCCTTAGTTGATAAATATATTGTTTTGTTTTTCGATATATGTTGCTATTTGCATTTGTTTCTTGAAGTTTTATTGTATAAGCAGCCTGTAGAATTGCTCAACGACGGTTTTTAGACGCTAGAGGTGAAGTTTTTTTGTTGTCTTCTTTTGATTTATACAAAGTTTTTCAAACGATTTACAAATGAATTGGAATCGAAATATCATATTAAACTAAATTGTCATCCGTTAAACAACTTACATACACGGTGTAAAAATACAAATTAATCATATTGATTAGTCATAAATTACATACACATTTTGGTATATAAAGTATTCTCCGTTTCTATATGTATATATAAATATATATATATATAATTAATTTTCTATAGTTTCCTTTCAGTTGCGCTACTTAAGATTATTGTACAAGCAAATCAAAATCACTTGAGGTTAAACTGAACTAAACATTCTCAATATCCAAAAAAAAAGAAACCGGAACAATTACAACGAACAATTCGTAAAAACAAAAACATGGAACCATCCGGATTTTGACAAGCTCTTCCCTTGTCTCCTGCTACTGCTAATGGTCCTGATCCTCTACTGATACTCGTCGTCGCTGCTCAGCAGCATGGTCTTCTCGTTGTAGTTCTGGCTAATGGTTGCCACACGCTGTCCGCCAGGTATAAACTTCCGCTGGTTGCCGAGTGTCTTGGATGCCACGCAGCTGTTGTTGCCGCCACCGGTGGCCACCGCATTGTATCCACCGCTACTCGCATTTGTGGCGCCCATTGAGGCCGCTTGGCCACCGCTAGTGGGATCATCTGGATCGTAGCTGGAGACGCGAATACCGCGCGAATTCTTGCCACCTGCACGAATTAGTCATTAACTTAATGATTGTAGTACTTGAGCTCACATATTGGGAAAGATCGAAATTCATGCCTTGAGAGAACATGCAAAATGCTGGGCACAAAACACAAATGGTAGGTGTGTCAAGTCAAGCAAAGGAAAGGCGACGCTTTAAGCTTATTGTACATTTATTTAATACAGATAAATTTATAGATATTTTATACAATTTGTTTAAACATTTACAAAAGTTAATCAAAGAAAAAAACATATGCACGCGAACTTAAAAGCACGAGCTTTCGATTTGAGGCTATCACAAAAGGAAATCAAAAAGCAAAGAATGTTTTTTTTTTGGTATCTTTGAGCTAAAGGATATTGTAGTATTGTAATCGAAATAATTATGCTCATATTTTAATGTTTAAATGCAAAATAAGCTAAGTACATTAAGTGTGAAAATCTCACGGAACTGTGCGCTCCTTCAAGATTCTGATATGAAAATTCACCAAAATTGCCAAGTCAATGTGAATCTATTGGATCTGAAGTTTGTTAATCTATTTTGAATACAAGCAAAGCTTTGTTTAAATTGATTTGTTTGTAATGCCATTTATACAATTAGTTACATACATATAATTATAAAATCTTTGTTTACACATACATGTATATAATATTATACAATATTATAGTAATAGAATGCGTTTTTTTTTATAGCTAACATTTAAATAAGTTGGTAAAATGCTTAGATCGTAACGTAAACATAATAAAAAATACACACACAGAAATCAGCAAGGGCAAACGGTGAACATACAAAACGAGTTATACGTATTATTCATGGAATGTCTTCTCAAGATTCAGAGTACATAATTCAGATACATAAAGATCTAAGGTAACTAGGCAATTTTAGTTTTGGGTTTCGAGTGCGCACTCTCTGTAAGTAATTAGGCCTAATACGTATTTAGTTTGTTTAAACTTGTTTTTGTTTTTGTTTTGCTTTTCATGCTTTGTTTTAGTGTTCAACCGGCAACACAAGGCAACTGTGGTGTCGATTTGTAAGCCTATGGTAAGCTATAAGTACACTTGATTTGTCTTTTATATCAGCATTTTTGTTTTGTTTTTCTTTTTTTTGTGTTTTTGTGTTTTTTTTTTCTTTGTTGTCCCTCGTCTTGTTTTGGAATTACAATTAGTGCTTAGTAGCGGACGTCGCTAAAGTTTTGCTTTGTATTTTATTTAGAGTTTTAGAGTTTTTCGTAACGCTGAGCTGAGGTTACGTCTGCAAAAGATAAGAAACAGAAAGAAAAACAAAATGTGTAAAACATAATGATAATGTAATGTGAACGAAAGCAAATTAAATGATAAGATTAAAAATAACTACAGAGCGCAGGCAACAAACATTCATAGATAGAGAAAGATATCGAGAGAAAAATACAGTAGAAACAATCAACATACCTGAACTGTATTGCGTGTATTGTTGGTATTGTGGATGGAAATTGTGTATAGCATCTGTCATAATATCCTTGGGATTCATGGTTTCCTGAGAAATACAATATTTGCGTTATTGTCGCCTTTTTTTTACAGATTTGACCTGCATGTGGCTTGGCTTACCTTGAGACTGCTGGAAATGGATTGCATAGTTACAGACCGTCCATGGCCATCACCAATGCAGCTGCGCGCATAGACCTGGAACAAATCATAAAACCACTCAGTCGTATTTTAAAATGATTATAACAGCAGGGCCTTTAATGATTCGGTCTATAATCTAGCAAGTTTATGACCACGTTAATAAATTCTTTACTAGCAGCTCTTTACTTAAATAATTGCATTCGGTCTCAACTGAGTGATATCTGCAAACGCCAACCCATTAAATCATGCTTAGTTTTTCTTTTTTTTTAGCAAATATGCCTATCAATAGAACTGAACCATTATCAAAACAACAACAAAAGGGGATCTACCACATGAATCACAAATGAGTTGCATGACTGGTACTGCCTTAAACATACAATCGTCAAAGTGAGTGCGGTGATTGTGGAAATACAGTCTCATCCAAACGTGCCTCGTTCTATTGATAAGCAAAGCGAATTGGATGTTATCTTATCTTAACGTGAATCGCACCCACATAAAAAGCAGTCAAATCTTGCAAGCAATTTACTCACCTGATAGGGGAAAGCATAGCGCAACGCAATGGCAGCAAACAGCATTTCAATGCATATGAAAAAGTTCTGATAGCCGGCGGAAACCGTACCCGCTGAGGTAACAGTGCCAGCACTGTCCACAATGGGCGAAATAACCTGTGCCTTCTCGAGTATGGCCAGTCCGACGCCCTGCCAGAAGGACAAGAATATGACCGACTTGATGGTGCAGAATTTCAGTACGGGCTCAAATGGTGTCAGCAGATCCCGTGTGGCAAAGTAGAACAGATAAAGGCCATACAAAGCCAGCGATACGGAAATGTTGTAGATGATGGTTATATAAATATATCCGCCGTCGGCGCTGTAAATTAAAACAAATCAGATGCAGTCCAAATTAGGTGAACAGAATTAGTAATCGCATTTGTCGCATACCTCCAATCACCATCATGATAATGTCCAAATGCCTGCAGAAAGATGATGATGAAAGCAACCAGCGGCTTAACCAAACAGAACTGCAACGTAGCCTGCTTGCAGAAACGCAGGAATCCAATGGTGTATGTCTTGCCCTTCAGACAGCAGGTGCCATACAAGCATGAGGTCTTAATGGGCTTGCCACGTATCTCAGACATGATGTTACCCTCGCCACCGAGATACTCATAGCATAGCGACAGAAAGTTGTAAATGACAAAGGCTGCGAATGCAAGTAAAGTGGGATTAGAGCCGGATAAAATCGAGATTACAAATATAACGCACCTTCGTAGCAATCGCGCACCGTAAAGAAGTAAATGTAAACGTTGTCCGAGTTGAAGAATAACAAGCTAATCCATGAGTAGGTGGCATAGATGGGCACAATGAACAGAATGCGGACTATCCATCGCTGCTCCTGTGGATTGGTGTACCAGCGCAAATGCTGATAGATCTGTAATCGTTATATATATGTGATTAGTTAAACGATTAGTGGTTATTTTTACGTATAATTGAATAGCTACCTGTTGACATGTGACAAACAGCGCTGCCCATACAAACACGCCAGCTAGCACCTGTGCGGTTTTCGTTTGCAGGAATATGCCATCGCCCACATGAAGCAGTGGATCCAATGGCTCCTGTACGACGCTCGATGGATTCTTCATTTGCACAACGTAATTCGGACTTGGCTTTTGGGTCGTTGCGTTGCCAGTAATAGCAGTTGCAGCAGCGGCAGCGACGCTGCTCACAGTTATTGCCGCCTCAATAAGACTGGCCGGCGTTGTGCTCATTCTACAATAATAAAAACACAGTTTACGACTGAGATACAAATTATAACACAATTATGTTATGTTTAGACCACACAAACTATAAGTTTACTATTTACTTTATTTTGACAATCTAAACGAAAGTGTGTATTTGTGCTTTTTTTCTCAGTTCAGACACGCTACAAATGTGAGAGGCTACTTGCAACGCTCACTAAAATTGGGTCAACGCCAAAAGTGTATATGAAAACGAGGCACGCATTAGATCATCATCATCATCATCATGATAGTCATGGTGAACAGAGCGATAGACACGCAACGCAACATTAAAAAATGGACTCGCAATAAGTTTCAGTAGCTTTTAGCGTGAAATGTTTTTCCCTGTCAGGGTCAGCTCCAACTGCTCCATATCGATTCTATACTAGGCAACAGAGCAGAATATGCAATGTAGGTAAACACAGCTGTGGCACAATCAATAAACAAGTGTTAAACAAGCTGCACACACGCAAAGAAAGCAACTCGATTGCGAAACAAATCGACAATTATATATGCATTGCAAATTAAAACACACATCTTTATTCATATTTACTTGGGTGCGATGAAATTAAGCATCAATGTGCCGGTTCATTCAACTGAAATCAGTTGGAAATTACAGATTTATAAATAAGTACTGTCTGGGAGAGTTTCAAATCGATATGCATTTAAAATTGGAGAGTTGAATGATTTGCTTATGCAGGGAAAATATACAGAGAACGAAATAAGAGAAAGCATTTGTAAGAGACAAATTTTAGAATCCCACGCAATCAGTGTTACAAAACGTTTTAAACTACAAAATAAGTGTGGGAAAGCAATTTAAAGATAGAGCATTGAATACATTTTTTGAAATAAAGCCGTTTTTATGATAAACCAGCGTAGATTTACCTATAGCTCAACTAGTGCGAAAGTATGGAAAGAGCAACTAACGTATTACATAAAGCAATATCGTGTTTATTTATTAACAAAGGAAATATTCGCTAAATACAAAAATAACACACAAAATGAGTCAGACACGCAAAACTGGAACTGAACCTGAAATTCAACGAAACGATTTTCTCTTCAGCAAACATCGCATATGGTTTGGATACTTAATGAACTGCTTTGAAAGTAATGCGTACAAATTCTATGACAATGAAACCCAAAAAGTGTGAACTCTGAAACAATTCTGCAGTCGCAGTAAAAATAGGTAAAATGGGAAAGGCACACAGAGAAATACACTGAAGAAGCAAAAGTTGAAGCAGAAACGAACAAAAAAAAGCAACAACAAGTTGCTGTCTGTTGAAGATACACAGAGCCAGAGCCAGATACAATATTGGCACAAAGCAAGGTCTCCACACACACAAGTCTCCACTTGCCAAATCGAAGTAGCAAGCGCGGAAGCGTTTCTGACAGACAAGAAAACACCATATTGTATATATACAAGTTGTGTATATATATATTGATATACATAATACATATGTGTATGCAGATTGTGGGGGATTTGGGCAGAAATCAAAACCAGCACAAATTTTGGGCAACGCTAATTACATTTTTTGACAAGGGGGCCAAGTTGCTTTGTGGGGCTTCTGCTTCAGCAGTTAAATTGATTTTGCGAGCTGCTCAACCATGTGTCCAAAATATAAGACACAAACTGTAAATAAATGCGAAGCTTAAATGCCAACATACGTGACCTTTCCGCGGGAGGGTAAACTTAACGCTGCGCTGCGCTGCTTATCAAGCCCCTCACAGAATCACACACACACACACACACATGTATATTGCTCACACACACCTGCTTATCAAATGCGAAAAATAAAGTCGACAACGTTGAATATAAAAACACACACACATACATGCATCCAATTTCGTCATCGAAAATTGATATTTTACTTGTCGAGTCGTTCATTTCAGGGAAAACAACTTTTACCCACACACTCACACATGTGCATAGCTACACAACACATTAATGCAACTTAATTACCTCCTTTAAGTGCAACTTTTCTCGAATTGCTTTTACGTTTATTTTTCACCAGTGGAAATTCGTTTTAATTTTACTCCAACAATTGCTACTTCAATTTTCTTTCTCTTCGTCGTCGCTGCAAGGCGACGAACAGACGTTCGTGTTTGTCCGTTGTTTAGCAGAGGGGCAAAGAAAACACCGTCACAACACAAATATAACACATAAGCTGCGATTTACTTTATAATTATATTACGTGCTGATTATTTTATTAATGCGCACGAAATTTCAACAACTTTTGCTTGTTCCCAAGCGTGCGAACGGGTTTATTGATACTCTATCGATATTGACGATACATTCCATGTTTCGATATATGTAACAATGTCGCTGAAATAGTTACAGCGATTATACACATACCGATAGTTGCGCGACATCGATATGTGCAATTGAAGAGAGCTGATGATATAAAGGAATGTGACCAGCTCATTACACATGATCATCAGTGCTGGAAAATACAGCTGAGCCACCGATAATATTATCGATGTATCCATTAGATATAGCCATGGTTAATCAAAGTCCTCATATTTGTTCGCTTATCTCTGACGAACTTTAAACTGTTGCATGCATATCTATTGCTAAGCGATAATAATAATGTAAATGTAACGCAGCCCTCTTGCAATATGGATTTGCGTAATGCCCGAGCGCGACAACCGGAAATATTACGCTCAGTGCAAAAGGATGCACGTTACACCAATGAGCTGGCCGAGGATTTATCTGACATATTGCGCTTAACTGGCCCTCGAAACTGGATTAAATATAATCAATTGTGTCAGTTGATTGCACAGCTCAGTTATCACGGTTTCGCCTCGCTAAACAATCTGCAAACCCTGGGCGAGGAGTACACGGGCATTATCCAGGTCGATGGTAACTACAAACAGATTCCCAGCCGGTTGGTAAGCAAATACAAACATTTATTAATCCCTAACTGACACATGTTAAACTCCTTTTGCACTTTGCAGCTGCAACTGATTGCAATTATACTTGAGTTTGGCGGAGATGCGCTGTTTCTACGCGTGTTGCAAAAACTTGAGCTGCACATAGCCGAACATGATCAGATAGTGCCCGACGCCAAGAAACAACTGCAGAAGCTCATCCAGCACATGCGACAATCGCCCAGCTATATTAAAGCACTGCACAAGTCGCTCTTTTATTTGAACGCCAGCAAATATCAACTTTCAAAGCGCACCACTGGCATTAACTATGTGCTCATCCGGCACTGGTTGCAGCCGGAGTTTTCGCTGTATGGCTACAAAATTCTTGGCATTATAACATTCCTTCAAGTGACGGTATCCTTAGCCATTGGCGGCTGGGAGACGTGGAGGGAGCACAAGCGCCAGCAACTGAACGAACTAAAACAGGCAGCGAAAACTTTTCTACAACGTGAAACAAGCACAAAGCCCTCAGCAGATGATGCGCCGCAGTGCATTCTGTGCCTGGAACCACGCCAGAGCAGCAGCCTAACGCCGTGTGGTCACATGTTCTGCTGGAGCTGCATTCTCGACTGGCTGGAGGAGCGCGACGAGTGTCCACTGTGCCGTGAATCAGTAAAAAAGTCGCAGGTGATTCAGCTGCAAAATTACGCTTAAGCATTCCATATTTGTTGGTTGTCAATAGATTGGATTGATCGGTGTATCGATAATTTATTAAAAAGTTTATGTAATAGTTATGATAATTAATATTTAACAACTGTTGTTGGCATTTGGCAGCAGTGCCACCATCTGCATTTTTGGCTTAGTACCATGTTTAACCTACCCTAGCCTAACTTAATAATATCTACTATTTACATTTGCAATTCGATTATCGGCTTAAATAATGTCCAAGTAAACGGTGCGGTTGAAGATCTGCTTACGCCGCCGCGACTCAAAGGCTGAGCGCGCCTCCACCACTGACTCGAAGGCAACGCGTGCATCTCCCGTGGGTTTGCCATCGTCATTGAAGCGACGTATAATATCATCGGGACTGAGTTTGTAATCGCTGAAGAAGCGCAGTATGTCCTTGAGGTCCGCCTTGAAGGGGACATTGCGCATGGCCACGACACAGCCAGGCCGATTGAACTTATCGGGTATGCCATCGTCCGGCGGAGCAGAGTCGCCAACACCAATACCATTGGGCAACAGTATGGTCGGTGGACTTACAGCAGGTGCATCGATAGTTAGCTCTGACCCAGTGCGCACGGCGAATGGATTAAAGTGCTGCTTGGTATTGTTGCCATTATCGCTATCAATTGGCGACACCAGCGATTGTTGTTGCTGCTGTTGATGTTGCTGCTGTTGTTGTTGCTGCTGCTGGTGTGGTGCTACACGATCGCTGACATCATCAAAGCGACTTGGACCTCGACGACGCGATGTTTGTTGTTGCTGTTGTTGATCCTGCTGTTTTTGCATTTGCTGCTGCTGCTGCTGCATTGGTGGTGGCAACGGCGCATCTGCATCCGATAGTCGCGGCCCATTGCCACCGGGCAGATAGTCCATGAACGGTTTATTCATACGATCCGCAATCTCCTGCGGCGTGACGGGCGCCAACCGCAGGCCCCGGCCACGAAAGCGACGATTGTGAAACTCACGAATGGCAATTTTGGCATTGTGCGCATCCGCAAACTCCACAATAAACTCGCCGGCGCTCTGATTGCGCTCGTTGAACAGCATCTCAATGTGCTCGATGCGCAGATTTTCCGACACGAATAATTCACCCAAGTCGTTGACTCTCGTCGCGTATTCACAGTTATGGACGCGCACAAACATGTCCTCTGGGCGACGAGGATTGCCACCAGGTTGCATCATTTGTTGATTGATGTTGTTGTTGTTGTTATTGTGTGGCATGCCAAATGGGCCCATTGTGTTATTGTGGTTGTTGTGATTGTTCATCATATTTATGCCGTTATTTTGATGTTGAAATGCAAACGGCATGTTACCGTTATGCATGGCAGTGTTGGTAAACGCTGGGATATTGTTGTGGCTGTTGTTGTTGTTATTATTTTTATGTGTGTTGCTCTGTTGCTGTTGTTCTTGCTGCGGCTGCTGCGAATCGTGATTGCGTCGACGCGGATCATTGTTGAATTTGGCCATGGCCATCAGTTCCTGTTGTTGTTGTTGTTGTTGTTGCTGCTGCTGCTGCTGCTGTTGCATCTGTTGTTGTAGTTGTTTGCTCGCCTGTTCGCGTTCAGCATCTTCGCGCTGCTGCTGCTCCTCCTTTTGCAGTTGCTCGGCAGCGCGTCGCTGCTTATCCTTGGAGCTCTGCATCTCCGCCATGTTGCTGGCGCGCACGCGCAACTTGCGAAACCCAATGAAATGCCGAGATTGATCCTCGAGAGCGGAGCGTGCCTCATTCTCTCGCGCGAACAGAACAAAGGCAACGAATTCGCGACGATTGATGGGACTGGGCGCCAACAGGATGTCCACAATGGTGCACGTGGCGGAGAACATTTTCATAATGTCCTGCTCGGTGGTCAGCTGCGGCAAATCCTCAACATAGAGCACATTGGTAGTGATGGGTGGTTGGCCAGCAGGCGCCGAGCGATCATCGTTCTTGTGGCCATGCTGATGGTGAGATTGGGATGCCGAGGAGCGTTGCGAGCGTTCATCTGCCTGCTCGAACTCCTCATCGCCTATGGGCGTTATTTGCACCAAACGATCCCGGAACATGGTATTGTTGCGCAAGAGAGCTTTCTGGGCGCTGGACACGCGAGAGAATTCAATGTACGCAATGCCCGTGCGTGTTCCATTGGCGCCGCTAATGATCTTGATGCCATTGTGGGGTATATAGAGGCCGGCAAAGTATTTGCGCAGATCACTGTACGATGTGCTGGGACACATGCCGCTAATTTTGATGTAGCACGTTTCCGCCACAAGCACAGCACCTGATGATGCGGAGGAGCCTCCACCACCACCACCGACGCCAGCAGAAGCACCACCAGGTGCAGCTGGACCGCCCCCCGGTGAGCTGCCGGCAGCATTTTTAGCTGCCTGCTGCTGAAGCAACAGCTGCTGTTGCTGCTGAAACAGCTGCGGATACATTTGGGCATACGGATTGACATTGGCAAACGCAATGGACTCCTGTTGCTGGGCTAATCCAATGCTCGCATTTACCTGGTTATCGGGCAACTTTTGTGGCGGCTGTGTTGCAGCTGTGACATTGAGATTGTAGTTGTTGGCGGTGCTATAGCTTTGCAGCACCGGCGGCAGCACGCTCATTATGCCAAGCGGCTGCTGCTGCTGCTGGCCAGGCACATTAGATAAGACTGGCGGCAATGAGGTCAGACCGGGCAGATTAACTGCTGCTGATGCAGGAGCAGACGTCAAGCTGGCGCCCAGTGCCCAGGGCAGCAGATTGGCAGTGGCAACACCAATGCCACTGTTGGCCACTGGTGCCACCTTTGGCAACACTTTCAGCTCACGCTCGCTGCTGTCGCCGCGCAGCTCCGAGCGTCGCTTGCGTCCACGTTCGATGAAGGGACGAGCGTGCTCGCTGTCATCGGAGCTGGTGGAACGACTACGGCTGCGACTGCGACTACGACTGCTGTGACGGCGACGCGAGCTAAGCGATGCCGACTGCTCCTGCGAACGCCTATCAACTATCGGGCCGTCCACGTCGGCCAGCGAGATGCCTGCCTGCTGCTGATATGCCGATATAAATGATGGTGTGGTGGCCACTGGTGGGGCCACAACGGGAGCAGCCACTGGTGCCAGCTGCTGGCCTTGCAGAAAGCTATTCAGGCCACCAATGATGGGCGACTGTGGCACCGGTGGCATGGACACCGGCTTTGGCACAGGCACAGTCGGGGCAGCCACAGAGCTCACCTTGCGAGCGGTCTCGATTACCTTTTGCATTTCGGCACGCGAAGAGAGCAGCAAACGCACCTGTACCTCCATCAGTTTCTCGCGATCCTTTAACATGGCGCAACGGGCATCCTCATCGGTGCTATTTGTTTGTATTTTCCAAAGAGAGAGAGAGAGGGAGAGAGAAGAAAGGCAACAAATAAGGGCATATGCTTAAGTTGAGAGAGCAGTGCAGCACTAAAATTACGTACACCTAGATACATGTACATACTATATATAGTAATAGTGTTGATGATCTTTTTCTTTATCTACATCTGCCTAGGCCAGAGATCTTTACATAGCTAGTAGCTACAATAACATTTATAAAGAAAGAGAGAGAGAGAGAGAGAGAGATCTAACTACCTGAAAGCGATGAAAGCGTCGCCCATTTCGCCACCGATAATGTGAACACCGCCCTCCGGTATCGCGAGGCCAGTGAAGAAATTTCGTATGTCCCGAGCATTTGCCGTCCACGGCAGGTTTTGCAACCGAATAATGACACTCATCTTGATTCAAGATATTGTTTTTCAATTTATTTGTTATAGTTTTCTCTTTACTGATCGCTTTATCAGTTAAATCAGTTAATAATCTCTACGAAACACCGTTATCCCTCATTTGGTTAGAAGTCCCATATATCCATATCCAGTTAGTCGTGTCCCAACCAGTCTCGGGTATCTGTAATGAAAATGACAGACTTATGGAGAATATGCCACCAATAATTGTATCTTAAATATATTAAATGAGTTCTTTCCAAATATCAGTTGACGTATCTGGATCAATTGGAAGTTGTAAAACCCAATAGAATTATATATATTATTATCACTGCATACTTTTCTATTTTATCATATTTCTGTTTATTCACTCGAGTTAAAATAAATAATGCAATTATTAATTTATTCATGATCACGCAGATAAATTATTATTTATTTATGTCAATTCCCAATTTTAAATTATTCCACAATTTGGTTGTTGTTTCGAACGTTTTATAACTCAATACAATATTAAAATGTTTTAAAATATCACGTGAAAATAAGAATTCCACGCTCAAGCCATTAATTTAAAGGTTAACTTACCAAAATTTTGATAACCAAGCTAAAGTCGTTGATAGTACTAAATCGAAACTGAACTCAAGCAACAGTTTGTCAAATTATAAAAATGCTTCCATGCATTTCCTTAGCACGTAATCATTTTTATAATTTTTCGAATTTACTGATTTATTTCCTTGCAAAGCTTATTATTATTTACTTTATTATGTATTTGCTTACAAAAATTTCAATAAATTCAATTTTTATTTAGCAAGCGTTTAATGCTGAATAACCATTAATGGTGATCAACAAAAAAGTGCTGTGATGAAAACACATTCCTCGCAATTATGTTTAAATATATATTTGTATCTTAAAGCACTATCCTAATAAGCGATTAATGAGTAGACCAGTTTTTCTCCGCACACAAATAAGCAAACTCCTGTTTTTTCCTTTCAGTACTTTATATATACAAGTTTAATCATTTATTTTGCTTTAATATAATTCCGATTAGTTTTTAGTACTCATAATAATTATTGGTTTTTTCTGCTCTGCATGGAACGTTTCAGGTAAAAGTTATTTACTATTTGAGTTTTAAACAAATATAAGGAAAATTTGGTTTTCCTTCTATGCAAATATTTCAAACAAATCCAATATATAATTGGTAATATCTACCCACGCAATATTTTAATATTATGCACCAAAAAGATACATCAAATTGATACAATAAATACATTTACGCTCTATTGAACAATATATAGACCGAAAAGGTATCGGATAGCAACATTCGTGAATATCAAATGTCTACAATGTTTGCACAAATCAATTAAAGCAATATGTAAGTTTTATTACGAGCCATATTCTCATAATAATCGGTGGCTTCAAATGGGAAGTCATGGAAAATGTTTGGCTATGTTGCATAATACCAGTTTAACTGATTACTAATTGCGGGTGACATATTTGCCGTAGTCGAGCAGAAAAGGCGACTGGCTGGTGGCATGAGAAAGATGTCCAAATTTTCTTTCACTTACCCACAGAGTGCAACATGGCACGTAACCTTCCCGCCGCAATTGAAGGTCGGACCAGATCTTGCCGCACGTGCACACGCGCTCTTGCCATAAACTATGATACTGTGCTGTACGTGCCTTAAGCCTTAAGGATCATCAGCTCATATTAAGCTAGCTAAAAGCAACAATTTCAATTTCCTGATTAGTCTCACTCAATTACCTGTTAATGGTAGCCAGCCTTAATTGAAAAACCAGTTCAAATTTAACGTAATTGGATGCGATTATGCAGTTGTAGCGCACATTAAATTCGCATAGTTTATGCTTATCTCTCTGTAAGTGTATCTCTCTTAGTTCCTCTGCTTTTATAAAGTGGTACGATCGGCGGCAACAACGTCGACAGACGACGACGACAGTTAACACTAAAATTAATGAGCAGCCAAAACTCTTATTGAATACCAGGCGCCCCACAAATCAATAAAGCAGCAGCAGACGGTGGGGGAGAAGGTGGGAAACAGACGCAGCATTATTTGTGTCCGTTAGTTAGTTTGTTTGTATTTTTTACAAAACACTATAGGAAACCCAACTTCAACTCCTTCCGCTGGCTATATAAAAAGGCATTGTTGGCCATTTGGTTTGCAGTTTTAAAAAAGATTTGACCGCGTTACCGTCGTCATCGTCATCGTCACCGTCGTCGTTTAAGTTGTAATCATCGTTAGCTTCCTCGATCGCCAGGCAGCGGCGTTGAATAAAGACATGAGATTCGCAATTGTGAGTGCTAGATACAAAATACTAAATACAAGTCCAAATTGTACCATTACCGATCGCGTGAGACGCAACAATTGTGTTGCTGCGCATTTTGTGAATACATTTTTCAATTCCTGATCTGTTTAGCTAGCGAATTTACGAGATTATATCTAAGCCAGTTTGAGATGTGGATCTTACTCTTAGGCCAAGAAGTTTTAAGACTAGCACTGAACCTTTAAATACATACTCGAATATGTGATCATTCGCACCTGAAACTTTGTGATCGATTTATAGAAAATAATCAGATCTTTGCACAAGTAATCCAAGAATTAGAAATACATTTTATGATAAAAAAAATACTAAAGCTACACAAGTAATTTTAGTTGGCAATTTTAGTTTTTATTAGGTCAAGATCAAGGTCGTATTTGGTTATTGCTTATTGTAAATCGATTTGGATTAGGTTGTCATTACTTTATTATAAAATGGAAACATAATTTCCTGTTAAGTATATTAATGAAAAATCTTCTTTAAGGAACTAAGAGAACACTTTAACGAATAAAGATTACTATATCTAAGTAAAAAGAATTATCAATACATTAATAACGATTGCCACTATTTGTCAGCTTTTTGGAAGATTTGAACTCATCCCTTTTGAAGATATTCCTGATCATTAAAAAATAATATTGATAGTAAATAGATGCACTGAATTTCATTGTAGAATTGAAACTGTTAAAAAGAATATAAATATGAATATATTGTGGCCACCATTACTGGTATTTACTCACATTTGTTTACACTAAATAAAAAACACAATTTGTAAGAGCATCTCAAAAATTCCCATTTAAGGATTAACGATTAAAGCCTCGCTTGAAATGAAAATATCAGAGGGAATCGTTCAATGGCCTTACTAACCATGAAATCGATTCAAATGAAATTAAATAAAATTCCAAAGAAAAGTGAATAAATTAAGGCATTCGCTATTAAACTGAATCTTATTATTTCTGCAGACGATGTCAGCGCTTGGGGTGCTTCTGCTTGTCGGCGCCCAGGGCACCACCATTATTAGCATTAAATATCCGCCGCATGGCGCTGAAGCACATGAGAACCCGCAGCCGGTCAAGCGGGATCTCAGTGTGAGCTATGCAGCAACCAATATTGACTCCAAGGAGGGCACACGCGTGAAGACCATCACCGTGATCAAGAATGTGGGCGGCATTGGCCATGGCGGCGAGTCGGGCTCATCGAATTCGGCGAGCAACAACCGAGTGAAGCTGGCCATCAATCCCGAACTCCACAAGAACGAGGAATGGGCCAGTGCGTTTCGCGATAACTTTGAATTTTACGGTGGACTGCCCGAAGTGCCCGACATAGACGAACTCTTCGACTTTGTCAATCGCAAGAAGCCGACCAAAGCCCTCGAGACGGAGGCTAAGGAGCCGAAGTCCACGGTTGTTGTGGAGAGCACGTCAACGACGCAAGCACCGACAAAATCAGCCAGCGAACATGCCCAAGACACCAGCGATACTGATGAGGCAACCGTGGAGAAGATCAATGGCGATGCCGAGCTCCTGCCCCACATCAAGCAGGCCAATATATTGCGTCTGCAAGCGCTGGCCATAAAGCAACAGCAACCCCAACAAAAGGAGCAGGAGCAGGAGCCAGCGAGACGACTGCAAACGCGCGAATCTCTCGTCAATGTGAACTATTCGACGCCCATGCATTCTGTTAGTCAGTTCTTTGAGAATTATGTGCAGGTGTTGCCCAATGGCTATGACTACACCAAGCCCCCGCAGCAGCAGCAGCCGCAGCAGCAGCCGGCATGCAAACAACCAAATAGCATACAGGTGACGACTCCATCGGGACGTACCTATGACATACCGCAGAGCAACAGCAGCGGCACCAACGGCGGCATCAATCATCCCTATTTGGCACCAACGCTAGCCAAGCGAACGCAGATACAGCAGCCAAGCCTGCCTCAACAGCAGCCACAGCAGCCGCCTAACATCTCTCCGGTTAACTCGCTTGTGCCGCCCATTGCACAACCCGTGCAAGGTAATCTTCAGCCTAATCCGTCACTGCAACAGCAACAGCAGCAACAGCAACCGCAATCGCCGAAATTGGCTGCCGGCGCTGGTATATCCACTAGCCAGCGGCCATATGTAGCGCCCAGTCTGCGCAACAATGGTCTGGGTATCAATCGTGGCCCAGGGACGCCACCCACGTATGGATCTGCTGGCAACAGTGTCAACAGTGGATTGCCCAGCTATCGTAATAATGTTGTTGGTGGCGCCAATCTTCCAAACATATTTCGATCTCGCGGCTTAAAGTATTGATATATGTATTGTATGTACGTACATCAACTGTTATTCTTACGAGAAGTAGTGTGGTTTTTAAGACTTGTTATGTATTTAATGTATGCAAGCGTATTCCTAAATATATATATATCTATGTACCACAAAAAAACAAACAAGCAATGTCCAAAAAGTACAGGCTGGATAAATCGATAGCGTTGCCACAACTGCAATCGATACGGTTCGCGTGTCTTGTGGAAGCACTCGTAGCTTGTAATTTAGTTATGCCAACTGGTTAATTAATAAGGCAACGCAGCTAGCTTCGTGAGGTTTGTGATGTATCCGCCTGGCGCTGATTTCTAATGTACTCGTCGCACTAGTGCACACACATACATATATACATATATATATATGCACGTACTTTTATCAATGAACATTTACTCACCAATGGAAAACCATACAAATGCAAAGCAAAGTTATGAGGCCCAATGCACAAAGACAGACGGGCTCGTTTTTCAGATCAAACGCTATATTTATTTTGAAAATTTATTTTGTTTATCAATGTGAAAAAGTGAATTTTCTCTCAGCAACACGGCCTAGTTGACTTCAATTGTAGTTGTAACAAAAATAAAATGGCGGACGGAACTACTACAAGCTAAGGCACAAAGTATCGATATATCGTTTTCAGTGTTGCCGTTTTGGCCTTTTATCGCGCCGATTAATAAAAATTCGCATGGTACTTGTAAATTAATTAAACCACCGATGATAATAATTTTTGATAATCCAATTTAGTATTTGTTGTCATGTCAATTCACCCGCAACTTTATTTTAAAATATTTTTCTTTTGTACTTTCATGTATATTTTATTCTTCGTTTTGGCCTATTTCTGGTCGATCTGTTTGTAATCGATAGGCAATAATGACGGATAGTATGCTGATCACTTACAATGTGACCAATAGGATTGTGTACAACATACAATTTAAAACTTCATGTACTTCGTGATAATATGATTGAATACACATTGGATTTAATTAATTTAGGCAGCTATCTCAAAAACGTGAGCACCCTGGCATTCGCATATTTGCTTGGAAGAACGATAGTTTTGCGTTTGTCCGACCTTATGGTATTGTGAGTTTCTCACCTGCAGTCACACTGTTTTTCGTAGGTCAGCACGGATGCTGATTTTTCCAACCAAGGCTTTTTTGGTTTTTACATCAAAATTACTTGCAATCAACACACAAAATATCTTCCCCAACAATTCGTGATCATTTCAAGTCCTTGCGCGCACATTTAGCAAGTAAAATTGTAGCCCCAAATTTGACAATTTACGCATTGCAAAAACGCAGTCGTCACACCTTTGGCCAACACACCAATACAACCAAGAAACCCATTAAAAAAAAGAGGACGGCAAATCAGCGAACGTTAGGCAAAGGCAAAAAGTCTGCAGAAAGAGATCGAGTACTGTTTGTGGTACTTTTCGACGCTTCAATTTTCGATTTATACCGAAAACGAATCGCATAACCTTTTGGAAATATTACGCAAGTATTATTTCTGGATATAATTTGTCAATAATCATGGCCCAGTAAAGATGAATCCTCAACGCAAAATAATCGCTCAACGCACTCCGTGTGGAGACAAACGTCAACGCGAGACGCTGTTTGCTGCCAATTCGCAGCAGCAAACAACAAAATCCCAATTTTCCACTCTCTCCTATCTACCCCTCAACGAGCACTGCGGCCTAAGCGCAGCCAAAAATAACTACAATGGAAAACAACAGCAACAACAACAACAGCAGCAAGAAACAACAACAGCAACAGCGTGCAAACAAATCATCTGCTGAAGCTCAACGCAAATCTAGTGGTGAGCATTCATTGTTGTCAGTTGCCTCAAAATTATAAGTACTTAAAATCTTGATCAGCACCTTCATAGTCGTGTCCGTCTGTCTGTCTTTGCAAGCAATAGCAATTCTGTAGTAATTGTTTTCGTTTGTGCTTCCATTTGTTGATAACATAGCCAAAATAAATGCTTGTTCAAATTTCACCTTCTGCAGATTTGTATGCTAACAACAAGACACGCAATTCTCGACGACGCGAACAGCTTCCCACACCACGCAGCGAACAACAGCAGCGCAGCACCAAGCAACAACAGCAGCAGCAGCAACAACAACAGCAATCGGCTAAGTTACGTCCCAATGTGGACAAGCGTCCACGTGCCCGCGGTGGCGGTGGCAATGGCAACAGTTGCGGTTATGGTCAAGAGTCTGGCCAGAACAATGACGATGGCCTTGCATGCACCGGTTCGGATAACGCTTATGGCAGCTCCGGACTAGCGGCAACGGGCGCTAGCTACATGCGTAGTAGTGATCCTGACTATGAACTAAACTCTGTCTATGCGCATGGCAGCAAGAAGCAGAATCTGAACCATCTGCTCAATTTTCATTGTGTGCCGCGCCAGTCGTCGTCGTCGTCTGACTGGCACGCTACTGGACATGGCGCGACTATTGCACGCCGCCAGCCACGCTACAACAAGGAGCAATTTCTGCAGGCCAACTTTCAATTTGTAATACGGAGCAGTGCTAAGGCGCAGGTGAATAGCTCACCGGACACGCTAATTGATTGGAGTCTAATCGAACAGATCAACATACATACCACCGAGGAGCCGCAATGCCCCATTTGTCTCTATCCGCCGGTGGCTGCCAAGTTGACGCGTTGCGGCCACGCCTACTGCTGGCCCTGTCTGCTGCACTATCTCTCGTTGAGCGACAAGACGTGGCGCAAGTGCCCCATTTGCTACGATGCCATCCACGCTGCAGATCTGAAGAGCTGCACCATTTTACAGCAGCATGCCATGAATGTGGGCGATACGATTAACTTCCAGCTGATGCGTCGCCTCAAGGGCTCTATTTATATTGAGCGTTATGCCGGCGCCGCAGCAGTTGGTGGCTCTATGGAGCATTTGCGTTTCCCTCTGCTCAGTGCCGTGGATGAGACGAAGCGCTTTTCCAAGTTTTTGATTGCAAAGCGCAGCGATGTGGCCGCCATTATTGAACGCGAGCGCCGCGAACTCTTGGCTCAGTCCGATGAGTCCTGTCCCGAGGATGTTTTCACACAGCAGGCGCTGCTGACACTCAATGAACGCTGCGACAGGTTGGGCTTGGAGCCGGAGGAGCAACAGCAGTTGCAGCCGCTACAGCTGGTGGAAGAGGACCAGCAGCCACAAGCTAAAACTCCTGATGTCGATGAGAAGGCAGATGATGCCTCAGTCTCATCCTTGGGCGAGGCGAGCTGCAGCAGCAGCTCCACCACCAGCATCAATAACAGCAACAAATATTATTATTTTTATCAGTCCAACGATGGACAGAACATCTACTTGCATCCATTGAACGTGAAAATGTTGCAGGCCTGCTACGGCAGCTTGGACCAGGCGCCGGTGTTGATCCAAGCGCAGATATTACAGAAGGAGCATCACTCCATGGACGAGGAGCATCGCCGCAAATTCACCTGCTTGGGTCATTTGCCGCTAACATGCCAGTTTGCCGTTGTCGAAGTGGAGCTGCAGACTCCAACCATTACAGGCAGCATACTCAAGTTGTTCAAGGGTTAGTTTGATGCATTTCCATCAAATACTACAAAGCCTAATCAATTAATTTTAATTTCAGATGATCTGCTACATCGCAAGAAGGAGCGTCAGCGTCGCGAACGCGAGGAACGCAAACGGGAGCAGCACATTAACGAGATCAACGATCGCCAGATGGGCAAACTAATTGCCAGTGCAGCCAATTTGAATCTAAGCTCTACTCATGAGTTTCCCACTGTGAGCTTGTCCCAGATATATATACATATGTATAATTCTAATTGCCTTGCACTTGCAGTGTGGCTTTGAGGAGGACTTGCCGGCACCACGCGGCGCTTTGCCCATTGCGATTGGCCAGGCAAGCAGCGGCCCGCGTTACTCCAGCGTGGCTGCCAGTCCCAAGCAGGAGCTATGGCCCAGCATTGGTGGTGCGTCTGGCTTGCAGCATAGCCCAGGCGAGTTTCACTTGGGTGGTGCCTGGGGTCGCGCTGCTCCACCACCATCAGTTAAAGTGGCCGCCGCTGCTGCCGCCAGTCGCCCCACTGTGGATGAGGACAATGAGTTGCGTGCCGTTGGTCCCTGGGCGCTGGGCGAGTTACTTGTAGGCGCCTTGGACCAGCAGAAGCAACAGCGTGGAGCTAAATCGAATACTGCTCCAGTGGATGCTGTTGCCAGCAACAAGAAGCAAAAGAAATCAAAGGGCAAGAAAATGGTGCCCCTATTTGCCGTTGGAATGAACCGAGCTCCATAAATCATCACAGATGGATGGATCTTTGGCATTATCCAAGAACACTTATTACACTACATTATAAGAAGAAACTTTTGTTTACTATCAAACGTTATTGCAAATAACTCTGTCAACAACCAATCGCTTTATAATTTAATTAATCCATATTCATATGTGCGTGCATTATTACATAATCCAATATTAATATAATCCAATAAAGGCAAAGAGCAGTGAAAAGTTTAAAGATCCTAATGTGAGTTACAATTGTAGATTTACTTCTAACCCAAAGGTGAAATATATTTAAATTCTCTTTTTTAATTAGCTTTCATTCAAATTTTATTTTTCCAAAAAACATTCAACAAAGCATTTTTACTGCAAACTTGTATTTTGCATTTATAATTTTTTGCTTTTGTTTTCATTTGCGAATGTGTATTTATGTATTTTATATTATGTAGGTATTTATGTTGGTGTTGTAGTTTTGCTTCTTTTTTTTTTTTTTTTTTGTTACTTATAGGTTAAGTGTTATGCAAAATAATTTAATATAAATAATTCTATATATTCCTTCATCTTTCATCGATCACGCAAAATCTTTAAGGCTTAAAATACAAAAATGAGTCTTTTGCGTTGGTTTCCATTTTCGTTTGTTTGTCTCTTTGTTGTTTTCAATTCTACTCATGATCATTTTTTTGTTTGTTACGAATACAAATTGTGTAAATTGTAAGAATTTGAACTTGCAACTGCGTCTCCATTTTGGCTAAATAAAATTGGCTACTATAGACAGGGCGCAGGGGATGAGACGAGTGGAGCGAGTGCATGTGCAACTACAACTAAAGCTAATGGGTCATAAAATACGATAGATTAATAGAGATACAGCTATAGAAAAATTGCATGTGCTTCAATCAAAACAGCAGGATTCTTGCATCCATCCATCAGCCGTTTGCCACATCAACATCAACAAATTGGGTGCCGCAGTTTGGCGCAAGTAAACACAATTTAATAAATATATAATAGCTTCAAGATAGAAGAGAAAAGTGAAAAGTTGATGCTAGCCAAATCAGAAAACACACCACTACTATTATTCTATTGCTGAGATGTAATTCAATTGCTGCGACGCTCAGCAAACTCCGCATCGTAGACGATATCATCATCGTCATCGAAGTCATCCGGCGAGGAGCCGGCTGTCAAACGTTTCTGGTAGCTGGTACGCGAGAGCGCCGATCTCTGTTTTTTGCCATTTAGGGAAGTGCTGCTGCCACCGCTATACTCGGTGGGTAGCTCCAAGTACTCATCCGTAGAGTCATCATCGTCATCCAGATCATCGCCATTGACGGAGCCCGCCGGGCTGCCGGGCGGACTGAGCGCCTGGATAAGTTTGCCCTTGGACTCGTTCCACAGATGATTCAGTCGCTCCGGTGCGAACATCAGCAGAAATGTGTCAATGAATTCGCGCGATTTCTCCTCCCATTTGGTGATGATGTCGCCCTTGACTTTGGTCAACTCACGCTTGCCGCGCGACTTAAGCTCATCCATTTTATTCTGCAGACGGAACTTCTTTTCGGATAGGAAGGATACGTTCAGCTCCTTGGCGGAGTAGCCGCGTGCGAGATTGCGACGCACATACAGATCATAATCCTTGACAATGCGCGCCAAAATATCCGAGGTGGAGACGCCCTCGGTGCGTTCCGTTGCAACAAACATGCCACGCGCCTTCAACGGCCCATAGATATCATCCAGGCCATCGTGCTCATAGGGAATGTCATCGTGTGCCACAAAGTCAATTTTATTTTCAGCTATGAACTCATCCGACAATGTCCACGGGGCATTCTGTACAATCTGGGTTAGGGAAAGGTGGTTAGTTCTGGTTTTTTTATGCCCTATGTATGGGCGGCAAGGGCAACACACTCACCTCATCCACGTAACGACAATGACGCACACCCTCGTAGCGCTCGAAGCCGTTCATAACGGTGCGTCCCTTCATGCGGTGCGTGAGCTCATCGTTGCAAACGCCGACAATCAAATAGACATTGGGAAATATATTTTTGGCCTGCATCAGCTGCCTGGCATGGCCCTGATGGAACAGATCATAGATGCCATCCGCATAGACGCGCACCCTACGATTCGTCTGTCCGGAACGCGCCATCTGATACGTAATGCGTTGTGTATAATCGCAAGTCTCGCGCTCCAAGATCGCCTCCTCATCGCAGGAGAACGGCGCCGGTTTGCAAATGGTCTGCAAAAATACACAAAAAACACAAATAGTTGATAAGTGAACATCCACATTGCTGATCCTCTCGAGATGTGTGCCCTTACGAATTCCTTAAAATCCATGTGCAGCGGCAACATTTTGTACTCAAACATTTGTGGAGACGGCGTCTCATCTTCGTGATCAGACATTTTCTAGTTTGTTCTTTGTTTTTTTTTCAGATTTAAGATTTGTTTTGTTGCTGCTTATGAAATATATTTCTAAATATAATATACAAAAATATTTGTATATATTGTGTCACAGTGAAAAAATACGATCTGCTTGAGTTGATTTCAGCTTGCTAACTGAGCTCCAAGCAAAGCACTACTCTGACTTTGTACAACAACAAATGATTGGCTCACTGTGTGACTGGGACTCGGTGACTCTGTGCCACTGTCGAGGATTGCGCAGCGGCTTTTAAATTAATTGGCGGCAACTGCTTCCAAATCAATACAATTGACTATAATAAAGCAGTCGCAGCTTGGCCCGTCGGCCACAAGTTTCAATTGCCACAAATTGAGCGCACAAATGATATTTATTTATATATTTTCATATATATAGGAAGGGCAGAAAAAGTCGCACGATTTGGCACGAGGCGCCGCCAACGACATCAGGCGATATACATCGTACGATATATGTATGTAACTGAACACTCAGTGAAATGCCAGCAGCTAGTTAATCAACGCCAATCAAAGCAGGCAAAGTGATTTGCCCAAGACTATCTCAATTGGATATGAGGATGCCAATAAACTAAACTTGAACTGAACCCATGCCCCCCCCTCCTCCTCCATCAATCTTTCGATTTTATATAACGAAATATACAACAAAAAAATATGCAAATGAGTTGTGAAGAAAAAAACAAACCGTTAATAATTTCTTTTAAAAAGTTCATAGCGCATTTTAAATATATATTAAAAAATAGAAGAAAAAAAAAACGAAAAACTCATCAAAGCAAAAATTTGACATACATATTTTAAAATGTCGAAATCATTTCACGGTCGAATAAAAAACACTCTAACAAAACTTTTTAAATTAGCCAAGCCAACAAAAGAGAGAGAGAGAAAAAGAAAAATAAAAACAAACAAATATTAATCATGGGGAAGAAGACTAGGAAAATGAAAGAGGTTAAAATATGCATACTTAATTATGTTTCGAAAAGAAAACAGTCAATAATAAAAACAGTAACTTGTTGACTCTAGAAGAGGATTGTCATCAACACCAAGCAATTAAATAGGTCAAAATATGCATATTTAGCTGGTTATTTCTTTAATCATTTTTGTCTTTAATTAATTAATTCCAGCTGTCAAGATAGCAAATTCACTGATAAAGCTCTCAGTGAATCAATTATATTTAATTTGAGTAATATAACTTCTAATTTTATCAAGTTAATTGCCGAGATTTTTTTTGTTGGTTTATTTTCATAGAATTATATTTAATTCGAGTAATATAACTTCCAATTTAATCAAGTTAATTGCCGAGATTTTTGTTGTTTTTCCCAGAAATGATTTGTACAAATATACAAATGATTTGCTTATGGATATAATGTTTATATATTTGTATTTGTGCGTACAAATTGTAAAATCATACCAAAACGCAATATTTGTTCGGAAGTGATTCCAGAAATCGCTGTTTTTCTCTCTTGCCCCACACAATTAAGGCAGCAACAAATCACTGCAGCAAATTAACTGATGATGCAATACACACAGAGGCGTAGCTAGACTTGCGTTAAGCGGGGCAAAGATTGAAGTGTATTTTATACATTTTAATCTAAATCTATTGTTGAGATGCAAGCGGGAGCAGCTGCCTCAACCCCCGTCACCCGGCACATAACTGGCTACGCCCATACCAAAATATATAATATACATGTATGTGACCTTGGCAAAGAAATTGCCATCGGCTTTTGTAGTTTCAACTTACCGCTAGATCGGCGGTGCCACTGCTCATGAACGATTGCTGGGAAGAGGATGCGGCCATGGCAGCGGGCATCGGCGGTGCAACTGTTGCTGATTGTGTTGGTGGTGTCGATTTGGTGGTCAGCAGCTTTGGCAGCGGTAACAACAATTTGGACGGCGTCGTCGGCGACGTCGATGGTTGCATAAATTTACGCTTAACCCCAGCGCTGCCATTGAGATAATCCGAATCCGATGTGGATGCGGAGGCTGTAGAACCACCGGCGGGTAGGGTGTCATCGGGGGATGTCGCCTCGACGCCATCGTCGGCCTCGCTCTGTGAGATGGTGCGCGTGGTGTCGCGCAATGTGGTCGCCGGATGTGGCTCAATCATGTCCACAATGACCGACTGCAAATCCTGCTGGCTGCCGCCGTTGATACTCGCTGCTCTGGCTAATGTTGCCCGCATCGCTTTCGGTGTCGATGTTGCTGTTGCTGTGCGTGTCGTCGTCAGTTCTTTGGCATCCATGGCGGGCATGGCAATTGCTGTTTCGTAAGTGCGTTTCCGTGTGCTCAACGTGGATGTGGCTACAACGGCAGCGACGGCGACTGTAGCAGCTGAACCCACATTAATTGTGCTCTGGGTGCTGGTGTTATTGTTGGCGATTACCGATGAAGTTGCCATCGCAGCGAATCTTTTGCAACGGTCGCGGCAGTTTTACGGATTTCTATTTGATTTAACCCTTGAGATGATTTTGCACACTTAAATGGAACTCTTCTCCTTCTGGGTTCTTTGACTACAAGTAGAAAAAAATATTAAGTAAATAAATATTTAAGTAAAACCGGTCAAATTGTAATATAAGCTGAATTTGATATCTTTTTTGAGTGGAAACGTTTCAACTTGCCAGCGACCAGTACGCAGCTAAAAACCAGTGTGTACACATTACAAATGTCTGTAAAACATTTAATTATTATTGCTTCTTCTTCTTCTTGACGTCTGATGTTAATTTTATAAAATTGAAACGAATGCGACACGTGACATTTGGTTTGAATAACTGCCGGATGCCATGGACAAAACAATTCGCTTTAATTGCTATTCGTTTCGATGTGCCACGCGCTTCGATTAACAAAATGTTTAGGTAACTGCAGCAGCAGCAGCACCACCAGATAAATAACAGAATCAACGACGAAAACACATACAGCTAGAATGCCAAATGAAAAAACAACACATTTTGGCACGTACATATGGCAGAGACAAAACGCAATTAGCGGGATAGAAATTAAGAATGGGAGTAAAAGAGAGAGAGATTAGAAGAGAGAACGCACTTCGACGAATCTCGAGTGCATTCCGCGAGCAATCTGCAAAGTAAAACTTGACACTAATGTACACACAGAGAACAAGCACCGTTATAACAGATTATCGACGACGACTATTAATATTCACTACTGTATACACACACTAAACTATTTATATATATATTTATTAATTAAAGCTACATAAGCGAGGGAACAAAAGGGTGGTTGTACTTTTCCATTAATTTTTGTCGACCAACAGTAAAGTAAAATATGTAAAGTTTACCCCTCCCCCTCGATATGTACTCCCCCTTTACGTAAGGCACGTGAGCAGACAAACAGACAAGTTGTGCTGAGCGAGCGTGAGATAGATTTAAAGGCAACTCTCCCTCTCTCTCATACACACACACACACATTCAATTTATATTCGTTGTTGCTGAGAGCAATCAGCTGTTCGCTGCATGTTTTATTTGAGATTTTTCAATTTATTCATAGCTTTTGTGTTTTGGCTCATTAAATATTAATCTAGTTTGCTTAGAACAACTATCTGACCTTGAATTGCCTTATTACCTCAACGATTCTTTGTTGTTCGCAAGCATTTCTTATCATACGATTGATAAGCTCGCGAAAAAAACCTAAAAAAAAGTAAGACGATTCCGCTCAAGGCTGCTATTACCAATGCTTCAGCTGACTCACGTTCATATACATATACGAAAACCTGCTTGGAACTTGCGAATTCTCATGCTCAAGTTCAAGTTGACTTTACACGAAGCTGGAATATATAATGTATGATGTAATCGCTATTTTTGTATAGTCTCATGGAAAAAGAAATTTATGGTATTAAGACGGAAAAAAAAGCTAACTCAGTTGCCAGGCAGAATGAATAAATATGCTTCGCTAGAGCTGAGGAAACTTTTTAGCTCTGCGCGGTGGCCAGTGACGTCAAAACCAAACGTCAACATTCGTCGTACGATCGGCAAATACTCATGCACACACACATACACCCACACTACTAGACATACCCTGCCTGGCTGCCAGCTCATGAACACACACACAAGCATACAATATGCATGCGCGAGTCAGAATGTAAACAAAGTAGGAGACAAGAAAAAAAGAGAGGGTTTTCTTCTTCGAGTACGTGGTAAATGCGAGCAACGAAAGCGCATCGGCAAAGTGACAGATGGCCACACTCAGCGATGATTAAATAAATTGACTAATTGCTGCCTACCTGTTGCCTTATCTACACTTTTGAAATATGTTTCCGCTGCACAGCTGTGTACATGAGTTAATGAGAGTTCCCAAATTACGATATCTACCATAGATAAAATTGTATATATATTTTATTTTATCTCTACGTATACTCATGTAAATGTATATTGTGTATACATACATATATATATTGATTCAAGCACGAGCATGACGATAAGCACTGGTAGAGCGATAACACTGCCAAGGCGGATCTATAACATGTACTCGAATATGTACCTAGTGTTAAAGTAGCGAGAACCTGGCAAAATTCCTCAACAAGCAGCCAAACAGGCAAAGTTCATTATCGTCATCTTTGAGCCGAGCTGAGCTGCGACACGGGGTTAATGTTCGTAGCTCGCATTTCTTGCTTGCCAGAAAAAAATTCATTTTTGCCGTGTTGGCTTTTTTTTTTGTTTTCATCCACAAATTGGGGTTTTTTACTTTGGTTGCCACATTCGTCAAAAGTGGCTTCAAAAGAGGCAAAGTACAGTCACGTCACGTTAAATGTACGTTAGCATGAGTTAGGAGCGTTGTTCATTGATAAGCTCCACTGTTTATACAGAGCCACATACATTCATTTATATTATATATACACAATGTAGATTGATAACCCCACTGTTGCCTCCCAGCCATTATCATCATCAAGCATTTACCCGAAAACAATCATTTGAACCTAACCGATGATGCAACACTCTATAAATACCATAAATATTTATCCCATGCATTAGTAATCCCCAAGGAACAAACTAAACTAGTTCACGTGCCCATTGTATGATGAGTCAAAGGTCTGCTGTTACGAGTGCAGTTTTAGTGCCCATAATCTTGGGCACATGGTTAAACTATCGATTATAATGCACAGCCCACAATGATTGGCTGCTAATCTTTTGCTATCGTTGCACACATTCTTTGATTTAAAATGTTTGTACACACTGACACAGCTCCCCCCTTACGCATACGCACACGCACACGCATACATTTAGTTTACGCACGCATAGGCGGCTCCCTAACAAATCACCCACACATGACTGCGACCGCCGATAAACAGTTTCATTGAGCACGAAAACAGCTGACTAACTGTGCGTGGGCTTGCCATGCGTACGCCACGATCAAACTCTCGATTGCCTCTCTCTCCGCTCTTCCGCTCTCGCTCAGACTCGTTTGAAAGCACGCTCGCAGTACGATTCATAGTGTTGAGCCCATTGTCGGAATTGGGCAACGGTAAAAAAAAAAAACATTCGTTTTGAGTGGCCGCATGGGAAAGTGGAGCACGAGCGCAGCTGGCAGAGGGCAGCAGTAGCGACGTCAGCGCATGAGTAATATGCGCATTGCTTAGTTTATTAATAAATTCATTTTTTTGTTGTTCTTTCCAATGCCACCCAGCAATGACAAATGTGAACTTTAAAGTCATACGATCAGAGCCCAAAGTACGATTTCTGTCAAGTGCTACAAGAGAGAATGAAAGAGCGAAAGAGACAGTGAGAGAGAGAGAACGTTGCACGTTTTGTGGCACAACAAAAGACATGAAAGTCGTACGATGTCGAGGGATGATGTTCAGATGAATGACGTGGCGGCCTGTTAGCAGCGAAAAGGGGAGCAGCAGGCAAAAGAAGCAGAGGCGTCGACACGCCGGTTGCAGCGGAACAAAATAATCGATAACGTAGCAGTTGTTGTTCTGCGAATGCATTAAATATCTGGGCGACGTAGACATTATGTAAACATCAGTTGAGCCTTGGCAGCGAAATCAAAACTAATTAAGACGCATATTTTCTGGGCCACCAAGAAAAAATAACAATAAAAAATAAATCGAAATCCAGCGCTACTGAGAGCAAACAGAATGCGTGTGATTAAAAGAGAGATAGAAGAGCGAGGAATTTGCTCACGTCACGGGCAGCAGCGCCAACGTCATCGTGAATAGATAGGAAGGAGCAAGAACGAAGCACGAAAGACATCAGCAGCAGCGCTTTGTTTGTCTATATTTGTAGTGCAATTTTTTTGGGTCTCTTCCAAAGACAGCAACAATCGATGCCAGCACGTACTATCAAATGAATATTTGGGCCAACTTACTTTCAAAATTTTTCCTTAAATTGCACGGCAATTTGTTTGACTAAAAAAATCGATGAGGGCTCGTGGGTAATTTTTCACACGAAATGAAGCACTACATACTAGATTAACGTTTTATGGTGCACTGTATAGCAGCCTCTGTGCCAATTGGTGGCTTTCGTTGCTGTGCCACTTGGTTATATTGTTTGTGTGTTGGTTCAATTGCAGCAATTGGTTCAAAACTTTTTTATGTCCGCGTCTGCCCGTCGCAACGAAACGAGTGAAAATCGCGCTCACTAAAACTGTTCTTGACGTTGCCATATTGTCATTGACTCCCATCGTTGGCATGAAAACATATCGATAAATAAGTGGCTCGTTTCCACTGACCGCATTTATCTAATGAATGCTTTAGCAACTTATTTAATTGAAGATGCTTCAGACAAATGTACCATTCAATTATGTATAATTTAATATCAACAGATAATTGATTTTTTGATTGATATTTACGAAAATCAAATTATCAATGCTGTTATCGATAAGCGTTTTATTTCAGTCATCGATGTTACTGCTATAACGGTACAATTACATATTAGTTCCTAATTATTTTGTTCAACTTAAATATGTTTACCTTTAATAAAACCAAATGGAATTGCTTTTTTTTTATATTTTGCTGTCTTTTGTATATTTATTGACACTCAATAACTTCGTAAATGTTTTGTTTTTTTGGCTAAATGAAATAAAAAAATAAAGCTTGCTTTTAACAAAAACATCATTCACATAATCTCACACTTAATTTCAATAATAATATCATAAAATTGACAATAATTCGTATCAGAAAACAATAAATTTCTTTGGTATATCAACTAAACGAAAAGCAACCATTCGAAAAATAATGTCCTAACTTAGCATAAATTGACCAAGATATTAAGACGATGATACATAATTGGAGTATCTTAAACACTATAGCTATGCAGTTTTCGTATTGAACAACAATTTTTTTGTTTGTCTTTTTGTTTTGGGTTAAATTTCATAATTGCACAGAATTTGTTTTCTTTTTTGTTCAACTTTGGCTTCACTTTGACTTGGTACACTTGGCAAGCGTGTGGATGGCAAGTGATTGTGTTTAGGATTAGGATTAGGATTATAAGGGATTGACAAGTCTTCTCAGCTTACATAAAACTAACAACGAATTCGAGATTTCAGGAGATTTCAGGAGATTCCTCACGTATGTTTCGTATGTACTTAAGGGCAATATGTATATGAGTATTCTAGGTCACGGGTTGCAAATGTCTGTGGGTGTTGTGTGGATTGTGGTGGCTATTGGTAGTTTAGCTCAGCACTGGGATGGAATGCGTATGCCCTGGGTTATGGAGTTCTCCAGCACGATGTGGCAATCATCGAGCGGCTCCAGAATCTGTATAAGAAATGTTAATAGATTGCGTCGACGCAGAAAACTCTCCTCCTCGTACATCTCGTGCGTGACCTTCGTCAAGGCCATCGGTTTAATCAATCGCGTCAACAGATGCTCCCTGTTCGCAACAATAACCAAAACAAAAACATAAATTAAATACTGCTTTTAGCTACTCAATGCAAAGTTGAATTACCTCAAGCTGAGGCAAATGAGCAGCTGAAATTTGCCGTCTTTGCCCAGGGTGCTGGCCGTGCCATTAATCTCGTCCATCAGCTGCACATATAGACGCCAAATGCTGCTCACCTCACGTCGCTGCAGGCTGTTGCTGCTACCATTGCTGAAGGAAGAGTCCATGCTGGACGCAGAATCATCAAACTCCTGCTGCAAATTCTGTTCGAATAGCTCCTTGATTTTGGCTGCAACAATGCACACAATTGAAATATCAAATGTAGACATGATTTAATGTGCCTGCTCACTGAAGTAATCCCAGATGTACAGATTGCGTCCAAAGAAACGGGACGACCGAAAGCCGCAAAGGAAGACCTGCTCCAGGCATTTGACCAGTCCGTCATCGCCGCACAGCAGATGCGTCAGCGTGCCCACATCCCTGTCCCGACTCGGCTTATAGTGCCACTTGACAATCACATTGACGCAGTTGCCAAGCTGATGCTGAATCTCCGATGGCGCCACCGACTCCTGACGCTGTACGCTCGGACTGCGTGTGCGTGGCGGTGTACGTGTTGGCGGTACAAGCTCAGCGTTCTTCACGCTGGTGGAGACACGCTGTCCCACCAGCAAACGTTCCGTTGAATCGTCATCGACACCTTTGCCCAGCCAACGTCCGCAGGGAAATCTAAAAGATTGCGTGCACAGTTAGTGTAATTGAATTGAAATGAAATAAAATATCAAATGTGACTCACTTGTAGGTGTGTCCGGTGACCTCGTTGCGCATCACCACCTGTTCCACCAGCCACTTGTGGCTCTGGCCCGAATTGTCGTGTCCAATGCGCATGGTGGTCAGCAGTCCAAGATTTTTATACTAAATGCAAAGTAAGCAATTCAAATTAAATAGAGCTGAAAATGGCCGAGTACAAGTCGCACTTACATGGAAGATGAACTCCAGCGAGCCCTTGGGCACTGGTACACGTTGTGTTTCGTTCATGGTGCCGGAGACCATGATCCACACATTGCTGGAGGTGTGATAGGAGCCGTGTTTGCGCGACGGGAAAATGACAACGCGATACGGCAGCTCTAAGCAGGAGGAGGAGGCAATGTAAATGTTAATTTGCCAAGTGGTAAATGGACAGAGCAACCTACTCGTTGTGGGATAAATGTTGGTAAAGCTAAAGTAGTCCACGGTATTGAGAGTCAGCAGATGGTAGAGGAACTGCTCCTTCTCCTCCTCGCAGCGCAAAAATGCGGATCTCTTGTAATGCGAGCGCAACAAACTCTCATCGGAGAGCAACGTGCGAAAATGACGCGACAGCAGCTTCTTCTCCAGAGAGAGACGCACCCAGGCGCGCGTATAACCAATATGAGTCTTGATGTCTGCCATGGCTAGCACGTTTCTGGGAAAGAACAGTTGGAACAGAAGGTTAATAAATGTAAAAGCCAAACAAATGTGCTCCAGTTGAGAGTACCCGACTAGGATCTGCCCCAAACTCACTACTGGGCATTTAAATGTGGATGACTCACTTGACATCGAACTCCAGCGACTCGGGCAACGGGCACAGCTGTTCCAGACCCACAAACTTGTTGCGATCACGCGACCGACTGCGATTCGGACTCGGCGGACTCTCAAAGTCCGTTTGGAACGTGGACAAGTCTGGCAAGTAAAACGATTTGCTTAAGCACAATCAATTCATATAAATGGAGCAGGATTTGGAGGCACTTACAATCCATGCGTTTACGCATCGCATTCCAGGCGAGCGCTGGCGAGGCGCTGGCAATGTTCATCCTGTTGCTGCTTGGACTGCTGGAGACGGGCGATGATGTTTCCACGTTGCCTCCGCCGCCGCCGCTGTTGCGTGACTCCTGCTGCTCCAGATAGGACTGCAGATGCGACCAAAGCGCCGATTTGCCCTGTTTGTTCTGCAGACCATGCGACCAGATCTTCTCCAGCAAATCACACATGCTCGCTATCAGCGTATTCTCCTCAACTCCGTCACCCTTCAGACCCAAGGCGACCGCCTCGTTGCCCATCTTTTCGAGCAGCATGCGCTTCGTCTTCGACTTGATGTCCTGCCAAAACGACAGAGAAATTCTCAGCTGGAAGCCAAATTTAATTATTTAATAATCGCATGATGCTTACCTTCAGCAGACGCTCCACAAATGTCCAGTTGGCTTGGGCTATCAATGCGGGACTCACATCCGCCGTCGTCAAATTTGCCGACAGACGATTGATGGCCGCATTGGAGTTGGAGTTGGAATTCGAATTGCTGCTGTTCACCGGTTTCTGATCCAACGGAATATCCCGGGCGCGCCACTTGTTGCCATTCTTGACGCGGCGCAGGCTGTTGCCTCTGTTTGGGGGATTGGTTTTTTGTTTTGTTTATGGTTTCATGGAGATTAGCGGCATGAGTTTAAAGTTTGAAGATTTAGTGAAATTTTGAGTAGAACGAAAGACAAATGGTGTTGGGATTAGTTGAGGGATCTACAAGAGAACATATAAAATTGTGGATTGGAGGGGAATGGAAGGGTTTTGATAGGGGGATAGGAGTTGCATGCAAGGGTGCAAGGAACAAAAAGCGGAAAAGATGCATTTAAAGAAAAAGAAACGAAAATTGAACAACGATTAACGTTTGTCTTATTTTGTTTTGTTTTGTTTTGGTTGTTGTTGAGATATGCAATTTATTTGTTAAGTATTCGTTGTAAGGCAATAAATTAATGTACAAAAGAACAAAAAGAGACTAACGGCTAAATGGAAGACGAAAAACAGGTGCACTAATAACAATACTCAAAAAAAGTGACACATACACATAGAGCTAGTCTAACAATCGGATAATAACATCATAAGATCTTCAGATGGGACGAGGTGGGAAATGTAGCAAATGATTGGGTTAACAATTAACAATTATATATCTATATATATTTTTGTGGATAAGGTACGTGCTCTGGTGGGGTGTGTGGGAGGTGGAGGGGGCTGGAGAGTGAAGCAAATGGGTGAAACACTACCTCGAGGCGCACTCCTGATTCAGCACACCCTTCTCGAGCAGCGGAAAGCTGCGAAAATAGGCAGCCCGATTGGACAGAATCTCACTTGGCGGCGTCACCTCGATGTCAATGCAATTGAGACGCTTCTCAAAATACTGCTGCGAATCCTGGCTGACCACGCACGGCTCATAGCTGGTGGTGCAGATCATGTTCTCGCCATGGCGACGACTGCAACAAAACAAAAGAAGAGAAAGTTATTAAAAAAAAACTAGATTCCGCTTCTTTAATGACTATATGCGTACCGGAGTAGCTTAATGCGCTGATCGAAGAGCTGTAGCTGCTCATCGGGCAGCGGCTCCCACATGGCCAGTATTTTGTTGTCGATTAGCGTGGCGAACATTTGAGATTCTAGGAAGCGTGCGAGAAAGGCGCGATGATGCTCCGGCTGATCGGACAGAAATGAGGATTTATCAAAATTCTGCAACGTCTCGCGATTCGAGAGCCACTCATCCTTGGCCTGATTGGGATGGATGACAAAGTGTTCGTAGGCATGGAACATGTGCGCAAAACGATTCAGAAAAATCTCACGCAACGAGTTGTTGATGCGCAAATCCTGATAGTATTGCTCCACAATATTCAGTGTCGGCTTCTCGCCGCGTCGCGACAACGAGCCCATGCGCGAGGGCGGCAGCGTGGCATCCACGGCATCCACATCATGGTAGATGCCCACCGGTGACGAGGACAGCGAGAGTGTGGGACTGCCGACGGGTGAGCCACCCGCCTGGTTGGCACGCATCCCACCCTTGCGACGCAGAAAGTCAGCGATGCGCGGCACATGATCTATTTTCGAGGGATGCGCCACCAGTGGCTGATAATCGACGCCAGGCAATTGTGTCGGCGAACCGCCAACGAAGCCACCACTGGACTGAAGCGTGTAGACTGTCTCCTGCAGCTGATGGAAGCGCTCTTTGCTGCGACGCGCCGCCTGCAGACCGTTGGGCAGCGTGCAGCTTGAGATCATGGCATCGGCAACGCCACCGCCAGCGCCACGCACCACGTAGCCGTTCTTCAGGGTTGGCTCGTGAGCGCGATCGCGCTCTATTTCGAACTTGTCCAGCACAGAGATGATCTCGGCCATAAAGTCCATCTTGTGCGGAAAGACGGGCAGCTCCTCGGGCAGCTGAATGTGCTTCTTGTCGATGTCCACGAAGCACAGCACAGCCTCGCTGCCAATTTTGTGCGCTGCCTCGCATTCCGCATGCAGACCCATCACAAACGGCACCGGCGCATCCAGAAAATGATGCAGTGCAGCCGGCAAAATCGGTGCATAGACATGCGGCCAAATGAACGGAAACAGCAGCGATGTTATGCACTCGCCCACAATCATGAGTCGCTGGTAGTCTGCAAATGACAAAGGGCCTTGGAATATAGTTGAAATAATATAAAGGCATTCTTAGCTCACCCGTCGAGCGCAGCAGCACCTGACTCTCGAGCAGCACACAGGTGAGTAGCTGGATGACACACTCCACACCCAGATAACTAAATAGCAGACGCAACGGAAAGTCCAGCAACGGTAATTCGGTGGCCAATGCTGGACGCTGCAATATCACCGCAATTGCCGGCAAATGCGGCTCCATCGGTGGCAAATAGACGCGTATCGATTTGCCCGGTTGAGGTAGCATCACTTCATACAGGATATTGTACACATACGATTCGAGACTAATGCCAGCCCCGGGCTGTCGTGGAAGACAACTGCAAAACAAAGTTGGAATATATATTTAATAGATTTTTCAGACTGGTAATACTGATTTTATAAATATGTCTAGAAACGTAAATCTACTAATTATATTTAACTGATAACTGACGCTTTTACTTTGATTTTCATTAAAAAATCATTGATAATTGCATAAAAGAATGCCGTGACAAGATTAGATAGTTATTGTAAACTTAAATAAAGCTCAATCGTTATAATGAATATAAATATATAAAAGTGTCAAAAGACGGAAGTCGACATATCAGTAAAATAAACTTAAATTAATTAAAATAAAAATACGATGTAAAGGCAAAAAATGAGACGAATCTTTGGTAAGTTGGTAATAATAATATATTAAATACTTGTAGAAACTCAAATGTACTTGTTATTTCTAACTTACATGAGAAATATTTATTTTATATTATTGCATAAGCACAAGGACCAGATAAGATTGTTATTGTTATCAAAATATTAACTTAAATAAATCACAAGTATTATTTTATTTATTTATGAACCACTTTAAAAGTTGCAACAGATAAATCAAAAACAAACAGATAAATCAAAATTTGTTATTTTTTTAATTAAAATTAAAATACTATTTTATACTCTAGACGACATTAAATAAACAATTCGATTTTGAAAAATTCGAGAACATTTTGTTTGCACACAAGCCAAATAGTCTAACAGAATTGAATATATATGCTTTATCTTCTCAGATAGTATGTATCTATAGAATATCTAGTTTTTAGCATGACTTTCGCTTGTGCTGTTTTTACGTACCGGTACAAATTCTTGAGGAATATCTGAGCGGCAAACGCGTAGGGCGCTTGGCAGATTAGCGATATACTTTTGGCGACGAACAACTTATCCTTGCTGATGTCGTAGTAGCTTTGTGCGGACTGCGGCGCCTGCCCGGCAACTTTGAAGTGTCGCGGCAGCGATCGACTGACGGGTCCATCCTGCTTGACTCGGCTCAGTGAGTGCGCCTGCTGCCCATTGGACAGCTCCGTTATGAACATGGACTGCAGCGTGTGGATGGCGCCGCAAATGTTGCGATTGCGTATCTCCTCATAGAAGACCAGACTGAATCCATAACAACGTTTGCCATCCTCCCGCGTCGTCGCAAACGAATGGAACTTGGGCTCAATGTTGTGCTTCTGGGTGCGAAAGCGCAGGCCCTGTGGCAGCGACAGCTAAAATGCAATTCATCTTTGTTAGGAACTTGAAGGCGAACAATCAAATCAACTTATAAATGTTCAGTGATATTTGTTACACTCAAAAAAATATTTTCAATTTTTGCTATTCAACTTTTGTACACTAATTTTAATAAGGTAAAAAATAAAGTGAATTATTTAAAAAATATATTTATACTTAAATTTAAAAAGAAAGGAAATATTTACAAGATTTTTTGGGTTTGTTTAAATGTAAAATGATGCAACATTTGTTGCATGGATTGGCCAAAACCCGGAAAAAATATAAGTGAATTATTTAAGATGATTTTGTTCCTAATGATAGAAACAGTGGGCTCTCAATTAGTTACATGATAAAGTCTAAGGAATAATTAATAGTACAGCGCTTAAGAGAAAGCGTCAAGAAGTAATGGAAAGTTCTGAAGAGGAAATAGAAAATATAACTGCTCAACAGCGCAGAGCAATAACAATGAAAGACATGCAGTATGAACAAGAGTGCTCATTCAATCAATCAAGTTTTAAATTAAAATTAGATATTAATCTTGGAAAAAACCAGATGCATATAATGGAATCATTTATGCGACTGATTTGAGTAGCCATAAACATTAAGCGCTTAAGAACAGATGGTCTATAAATATATTCGATTCACTCGGGGGCCACCAAAGTAAACACATGTCAAGATTTATGTGATAAGCAGTGAGCTCGTGGCTGGCAGCGTCTGCTTATCGGCTGCGCAGTCGTCGTCGTCGCTGCAGAGGTCGCCGTCTGCCGTTGGCTGCCAATGTGGCATCAATTAAAAGCAGCTCGTACGCAACGCGCACTCATATCAATGAGCGAGGCAGCTCAGTCGAGCATGAATTTAATATTTGTGTGCAGGGCACTTATACTGGGACCGACTGCGGGATGGAGGCAAGGGCCGGGGGAAAATTGGTCGCGTCATGCAGGCAATTGAACTTAATTGAGGAAAAAACGTTGAAGAGCTCTACCCCAAACATGAGGGTGAGGCTGCTGCACCTACCATGCAAATGCCGTGCGCATCAAATGGATTCCAAGCGACATTCTCGGGATAATGCGCTAGTGGTTTGCTCTTGTAGGCGCGATCCAGCGGCGAGCAGTGCAGATTATCACCTATATATAGACGATGATATAAATGATATGATGAACAATAGAATTTCTGATGATGTGGCTGCTGGCTCACCTGCGAAACGATCGGGCTCCAGGCCCGTGTCCAGATCCAAGCCACATATCACAAAATAGTCGGCGAAACGCGAGAATTGCGGATCCGCATCGCGTTTTAGTTGATTCAGCTCCGATTGTTCGCCAGGCGATGTCGGTGATTGCACCATGGATTTGGGATTGGCTGCTGGCGTCGTCGGCGTGTTGCTGCTGCTGGCATTGTTAAGCATCAATTTGGACAAGCGACTCGAAACATTTTCACGCGTCGTCATAATTTGTTGCTGTCTTGTCTATGTCTTGTTTTTCTTTTTTTGCTCGCTGCTTTGCTCGATTGCTCCAAATTGTAAATCAAACAAGCGCCTCCATGTGTGCGTGCATATGCATGTGTGTGTGTGTGTGTGTATATATTTACTGCTATTACCGTTGTGTGCTCACTGAATTGTTGTAGTTGCTATTAACTTTTTTTTTGCCACTTTCCAATTTATACGACGTTGGCAACGGCGACGTCAACGTCAACGTCCCTGGCCCTGTATATCAGTTTCGTCTGCAATTATATTATTGTTAATAGATCAAATGAATGTGCGTGTGTGTGTGAGCTCCTTTTGCTTTCTTTGCATGTGTGTGTGTGTGTACATGCAAAATTTTCTATGCCAATGGCACAGTTGTCTGTCGCTGGCTTCGCTCCGTTGTCTGCTTTTCACCCCCCCAAACCCACAAAAAACTTCTCTAAGACGCGTTCGTTTTTTGTTATTACTGCTGCTGCTGCTACTGGTAGCTTGAGCCCAGCTGCTTTTCTATTTGAAATTTAAAACACTTAAATTTGGGCAAACACCACACACTAATAACTTTAGGTTTTTCTTATCTAAAAATAAGTACACATATTCAATATCAAACGAACATCTTTGCTCATTACCGTTGTTCGCAATTTGCACTTTCCAAAATTATTTTTGCTATGCGATTACAATGACTATCGATGTTTTTGTCGATAATGTTGAGTGGTTCATTTTTCGAATAGGTTCGATAAGTAGCTCATTGCAGTCTGGTCACATTTTTCAATCAATTCTTTCAGCTGATTTTTGTTTACTTCTTTGTGTAAATATGGAATACGAATTAAACTGATGTTTAAAATTGTATACTTATGCGGATCGAGTTTTGTTTTCGAAGGAGAGGTGTTGATGTTCTTCCAGTATTTTGGCATCGCATTTGGAATTTTGGAATATATATATATATATATATATATATATATATATGTACATATATATTATTATATATTATTACATCATATTTTTCTTCACTTATTGGCAATACTTCCCAAATTCATTGAATATTTAAAAATATATATATATCTAAAGTTACAATTAAATCTTAAATGTTATACATTTATTTCGGCGGGCTTTCGCGTATAGCATTCATCTATCGATTGAACACATTTCTATCGATATTTTGATATTACATCGATATAATAAATATTAACAATCAGTTGATGTGTGTACACTGGCTTCGTGAAACGTGAAAAAAGTTCTAAACTGTATTTATGTGTGGCGACATTGTCGCATATTTAATAAAAAACTGGAGAACGGAGAGCGTAATAGCGCGCTCATAGCTAATTTAAGCTTGACCGATCAGGAATTTGTGTACAATGTTGGAATCGATATTGAATTGTTTTTGGAAAAGCGACTGAGCAGTGGGTAAGAGCACTTAGAACTTCTGTGCCACGAATAAGTGTGAGTGTGTATTATGTATACACAAGTGTGTGTGCGGGTGTGAGTTCGTTGTGTATTTTAGTGTGTGTGTGTGCCTGTGGTGCAAAAGGCCTCGGTCGTGAACAGCAGCAGCTGGTGGCCCGACAATAACAATAATAACAACCAACAACATTGCAACTCCTGTTGAGATCCCTTTCATGCCCCATTCCCCAATTGTGTCCGTAACAACGCGGAAATATGCAAAACCAACAACAACAGCAAAAACAACGACAGCACACAGCAATAAAAAACTTTATGGGGCCTCGATGCAATATTACCGGTTTGCAAATGCCACAAATTCGAGTTTTTCCCGTGCCCCACAACAACGATAGTAACCAAAACAACAACAAACAGTGAAGCATGCAACATTGCTTTCCGCATTGTAACTCTAGCATTTGGAGCTGGTAACACGATTTTTTCTGTTCCCGTTGTTTTTGTTTTTTCTCCATTTAGCAATTCAAGTCGCGTTTAATAAACGATTAGTCGTCGTGCAATAAGCAACATCGACGCGTACAATTATCAGTTATTTATTAATATTAAACATTGCCCACGTACAAAAATATGTAATTTTTTTGTTGCTATTTTGTGTTATTGTTATTCATGTTCATTTTTTTACAATGTGCTGCGCTGTTTTTCTGTTGCGTAATAAGAGTAGTTTACAAATTGAGTTTTGCGGGCGCTTATTGCTGTCCATCTTCTATGACACGAACCAACCTGTTGGTGGAGAACGGGAGAGTAAAAGAAAAAGAGACGCACACAGAAACACAAATAGACAGACACACTCACGCATGTAAATACAATTATTTATCGCTTACTCATCGACCAAAGTCGTGTTTTGTAATCTTTTTTTTTTGTCAGTGTACTGCTCTTTCCACCTGTGAACAATTATCGCCGTTATCTCATCCATCAAACATGTGAGAACTATCGACAACAGTACGATCTTTTGACGTTCTCCGTGGGTCAAGGCCCGCATCGACGCACCGTTGTTTGCTTTCGCAATCAACTGATTGACCCGCACGCTTTTGAGACGTGAGTAATTTTCGATCAAGCTCACCAATGACACACACGCAAACATGCAAACAAACACACATATATAACATTCTAACTGTACTTGACAGCCGCAAACAGCAGCAACAGCAACAACAACAACATCAGCAGCCAGTGAAGAGCTGGCGAAGCAACGGCAGAAGCAGCAGCGGTAGCAGAAAACGCGTAACGGAACTGTGTAAAATGGGCGTTAAGAAGCATATCAGCGAAACACCTTGTAAGTGGTGAGACATTTGACATTAGTGGTATTCCCTTACTTTGTGTCTAAATTGTAATCAACAAGTGCATTAAGTACAGCATAAAATGTATAAAATATTATGCGACTTATTTTGGTATTTTATTGCGTGTCTCTAACATTTTTGTTTTTTCAACTAAATTCAGTTTGCCAAAAGTCAGCAACAACATGAGAATTGAAATGTAAATATACTTAATGCAAAAAAACCTTTCTCATGAGGTGGGAATACCACTCTTAATTGGAGCATTTGTGTAACGCTTACATATGAATACGCGTATATATATGTGTGTGTATATATATGCAATCTAAAACGGCACATTTGGCAAGCTTGAAATGTTTGCAAATAGACAAAGCAAAACGTACATAAAACAAAAAACAAAAAAACCAATTAATTATATGTATGTGCAAACGACTAAAAATAAAGCCAAACACGCCGGCGAACAACAGCCAGCAGCCAGTTCGTTTGCTTGTGCTGCGTTCGGGTCACGCAGCTCTATTCAAGGTCGCCCTCTTTCGCGAGCTACTTTTTGGTCGTTCGTTGCATCATACGCCACTCTCAGCACTCCCTCGCTCTCTCTATCTCTCTTATGTATGCCTGCTCCCTCGTGCGGGCTCGTTCGCTCACTTGTTGCGCCCAGTCTCAGTCTCAGCGAGATATGCTTGGTGTTGACATTCACGAAGCAACGCACAAAGCGTACGGACGTAAAATTAGGTCAACATTAGTGAATTTTGTGTGCGTGTATGTACACATTAATATATTATTTTTTGCCAAATCCGTTGCTTCACCTGATATACATTTACACACACACAATGTTTGCAAATTAATTTGTTTTTTAATTCCTTTCCCTATATTTCCCTTTTTCTTTGTGTGCAGTGAGTAAATCGAACTCTGTGGATCTCTACAGACCACCCGCACTTAGAAACAACAGCAGCGAAGAAGCAGCAGCTGCAACGAACGAATCGTTAACAGAACCTGCTGCAGCAACAACAGCAGAAACAACAACAACAATAATATCGACAACTACCTCAGTCGCCGCTCGGCAAAGGTCACCGCCCAGGTAAATTGAGTAGTCAATAAAAAAAAAATTTTTAAAAGTAGGCTAACTGGAAATAAAATTTTGAATATTATTAACAACTAAAGCATTTACAAGTTTTCAGTTTACCTAAAAAGTGCTGTTTGTTAACGTTCGTTGTTCAATTCTCCATTCTACGTTTGTATTTACGAAATGTCGTTGTGTGTGTCAATCGTTTACCTTTCGTTATTTTTCTGTTTCTGTTTTGATCAATTGTTTCGTCGCAGAGAGCAACAGACAAGCGCCGCTGCAGCAGCGACCCGTCGTGAACGACGTCCCGACCGTGCCGTTTATGTGCCAAGGGCACGACGCAGTCAAACAACGCCGCCGACAACGACAACAACAACAATGCCGACGACGCTAACACTGACGCCGACGCCAACTTCGTCATTGCCATCCGCTGCAGCAGCAGCAACAGCCGCAGCGTCTACGTGCAGCAATCCACAGTCAGAGCTACAGCAACAGCCATTGGAAGTGCCAGTTGTCGATCCGAACCCGTCGAAGCAAGACGACGGCAACGTTCAACAGCAACAGCAACCGCAACCAGCTAAATCAAAAAAAACTAGATCGCGTCGAGGGGAGCGTGGCAAGAAAAACAGTGGCAAACCAATTGAGGCAGCCACGCTGCTTGTGATTGCGCCCAGCGAGAATCAAGCTACGACGACGACGACAACGCCTCCGCCGCCGCCGACACCACCACCACCGCCAGATAGCAACTGTGATAAGGAGGTACCACACCTCAATTAATTACCTACCTATTTAGCAAGCTAATATCTTTTTCTTTTTTTTTTTTTGCAGACCATGGGTGGCGCCCAGCGAACAAAGACGGGTAAAACCCACAGCAATTGCAACAGCAACCACAACAACAACAGTGCACAGCAAACGACGCAACCGTTGCGCATTGAGGATGCAGCAGCGCTGCCAAAAACCAATAATGCGCCAACGACTGAGGACGCCAACAAATGTGATAACGAAGTGCGCGAATTGCAGCGAGCCTCCAAGGTATAAATAAATATAATAAAAATAAGAATGACAATTAACTTCCGCAAATTCAAACAGGAAATCAATCGCAGCAATCGTCGCATCATGAAACAGACCTTTGTCTCTGATGTACTGGAGATACCCGAAAAGATTGAGGCAGCAGCAGCAGCTGCAACTGCAACAGCAGCGGCTCTAACACCGACTGGCGACAGCACCACCGAAGATGATGATGAAGAGAACGAGGATGATTGGGAGAACATGTTCGATGAGAGTGGCGAGTGTTTGGATCCAAAGATTCTGCAGGAGCTCACCGATTCCGTGGGCAAGTGCAAAATTGAACTGCCCAAAATGGATTATAGCGTGAGTGAAAGGCAATCTTATTGTTTAACAGTGTTTCCATATATATTTATAATATTTATTGCAGCTTTATCACATTAAGCAATCGCTGCTTAATGAGGAGGAGTTTCCGCATGTGCTGGAAATCTCAAATTTTCCCGTGGAATTCAAGACACCCGATCTGTTCATGCTCTTCTCACAGTACAAAAGCGCCGGCTTCGACATCAAATGGGTGGACGATACTCATGCACTGGCTGTATTTAGCAGCTCCCGCATTGGTTAGTTACCCGATCCCATTAGATATGCATTAGATCTGATCTGATCTTCCATTGTTTGACAGCTGCTGAGGTACTTACCATGGGCCATCCGTTTGTCAAGTTGAAGCCGCTGGCCGAGGCCACTCTCGAATCCCGTCTCAAGGCCAAGAAGGCGGGCGCCGTCTCGCTGCAGCCATATCGCCAACGGCCGGAGACTTGTACGGCGCTGGCACGTCGTCTGGTGTCCGGCGCCTTGGGTGTTAAGCTGCGCACAGCACCGGAGGAGCGGGAGAACGAACGGCGTGTGCTGCGCGAAGCCAAAGGTGTGTCTTGGAATTTTTATTTTAGTTTACATTATTTATATTCTTTATTTACCGCAGAACGCAAGCTTTTAGCTGCCAAACAGCGCGACGAGGTTTGGGAGAGCTAGACTTGGGAACCGTTGCATGATGCATTTTTTAGGTGGCACGCTACACTCGTGCTGCTAACAACAACTCTCTCATTACTTTCTCAATCAAAGCTAGTAAATAACAAACTGATAATTTGCATGACTAAAATGTGTACTTTAAAAATATTTTTCGCTTTTCGTGCAATTCATGTATACAAATTTTTGCTCAATTCGTTGTAGTTTTTAAATGCAATCAGAAATATCTACGTATAATATATATAAATATATATAATATATGCGTACATATATATATTTATTTGTCGTAGATCATAAGCATATATGCATAAATGAATACTTATATGTTGTTTTAAATAAAAGCGTAAAATTTTATTTATAAGCGCAAGCAATTTATATAAATATATTTTAATAAAGTTTATAGCGCGTAAGTACAAACGAGAATAAAATGTGTGTACTCTATGAAGCGAAGTCTCCGCTTTACTTTCTTGAGGGATTGTCTTTTGAATTTTTGAAAATGGATTTATTTTCTACTTTGCTTAAAAAATGTATGCAAATTTAAAAATAACGACATCTCTTGTCAAGTTTGGTAACTTTTGGCGCACTCGCTGCTCCACATTTTCAATAATAAATCGTTCTAGCGGTGGTCACACTGCTTTCATAAAATAGTATATTATAGCTAAGCAGGAGTTGGGCACACTGCTCCGATTAGGTGGTATTTTTCAGCTGTAATACTTTTGCTGCTAGTCGTCTTGAAAATTTTAACAAAGTGAGAAGTGCTGAGTGCTTGCAGTTCTTCTGTGTCGGAAACAAAATAAAATAAATAAATAAAAATCGGTAATGCGTAGCTTGAGCGAAAAGTGATTGACACATTTTGGACAAGTGCACGTGCAGAAGTGTAAATTGTGGTCAATATGCTAAATGATGATTTTTGATGTGTGAACATATATTGATATATATATATATTTATATATAATAATGTAAATGTAAAATATATATGTGTGTGGTTTACTATTAACAATATGTAGGTTTAAATTGATGTCCGCGTATGCATGTAAAATAAATCAGGCGTGCCGTGCACCACCCAACAGCCCCAAAAAGAGCACAGGAATTCTGTGCGTGACGGGCAGAATTTACTGCTATCGCAAAGATTACTATGCACTCACTGTGATCTGTATCCCCCTTAAATAGTATATATATTCATATCTATTGTCGCGATATTCGCGAACATTGTTTAGCAGTGTTTTTGCTGCAGCACCAACAATTTTGCACGCGTTACAAATAACAAATCGACGTCAAGCGACTTATCTCTCGCTCTGTTTTTATCACACACATGTATATATATATGTGCATGTATATATACAGTAAAGTGTATGTGTAGTTGGGAGCGTCACACTCGACGCACACACACACAGACACGTTCACATAGGGCGCTATTGTCACAAAGAATATTTGTGCAGTGAAAGAAATCATAATTAAAGCAATTACACTTTTGTGTTCGTAGATCAAAATAAAAGCCGCTTTTGCTGCGGCCAAACGTCGTGGACATAATCGAGACCAGAGAAATAACATTTAACCGCATTTAAAAGCGTCGGCGACTCAGCATCTCATCAAATTCGGTAAGTTCTCTCATTTGCTTTCTTTCTCTCCCTCTCCCCCTCAATCTCACTCACTCGTTGATGGCAGTGCCACATGCAAATCAGAATATTATTGAAATATCATCAAATTGATGTTCAACAATACAAGTGCTGCCAATTTAGCTATTTTATCGCTGAACTTAACTAGCGGACAGTGGCTTTCATATTTTTTTAAATTTATAAAACTTAAAGTAGTTAAAATTATTCGTATCCGACCACTGTATAAGATGTTATGAAAGAACAGGATGTCTGTTTTGCTGCTAAATATACTAATGATATCTGAGGGGTGTGTGTGTGTGTTTATGCAAACAAAGAGCGCTATAAATGACGAAACGAGCCAAGTCAAAGGAAACATGTGCGAACATGTCTCTCAGTATCTCCTTTAACGCTATTGTTTTTGTTGTTGTTGTTGTTGTCGTTATTGCCGTATTTTGGGTCAGCGAACTGTCGGCACACGCCCCATTTTGGTCGCAGGTAGAGACAACGCCTACAGCAGCAAGCAAATTACGCCTCTCTGTCCCACATAGGTCCTAGTCCTATACATATATACAGACAAATACACACACAAATACATGCATATTTACCTGTCTAATGCGCATTGTTAAATTTGTGTTTCTTGCTGCTGCTGCTGCTGCTTCTGCTTCTGCTTCTGCTCTTCTGAGGCTGCTGCACTTTAGGTGCTTGTGTGATTGTGATTTTTCTTAGGTTGCCGGCTTGAGAGTAAACCGGTTTGTGTTCCGCAGTTGTCGCTCCGAACTTGCCTCTCTCAGCGTCTTAGTCATTATCGTAATCATGATTTGGCCATGGCTTTTTATCTGAAATAATTGTGAGTCATTCGTGTTGTTATTGTTGTATTGCATTTCGCTTGTGGGTATTTTTTTTTTACTTCTGGTGATTTTCTGATGAGTCTGTCAATCTAAGTTAATTTTAGCAATGCTCTGGGTATAAGTCAGTGAAACATTCATGTCCTGGACTATGATTCGAATCATTCTTAATTTTAATTTGCCTTAGTAAGTCTGATTATTCCAGCACCTAATTCAACAGATGTATGCAACATTCTTTCTTCATCTTTGTTTATCGCATTGACCCCATGATATCTATATATTTATATGATGCAGAATAGGTTCTTTGTTTTTGTGCTCAAGTGCTTCGCAAAAGATTGCAAATGACATACATATATAACACCCAAGATATATATATATATATATATTTCTCGACAGGGTGACTATCCTGAAACGAATTAAGGTTCCGATTCTGGTTCTTGAGCATCTCTTCGCTTTAATCGATTCCAATTCACTTACTATCCATAACTCGATAATCGCTTATTTGTTGACATTATTTGTCAACTTTGCTTTTTATGGCATTTAAGCGTCGTCTTCTGCAACGGACTTTGCCACTTTGATATACGCTTAAAGGTCACGTAGTCGGCAGCCACACCCCACCACGTTTCCTTCCCTACCTACCGCTCCCCCTCCCCCTTTGGAGATCTCTTTGTCAATTGAGTGATATCGAGTGCAAAAAAATCAATACGTCTTAATTTAATTTCACGCCAAATAAGATTTCAATTTGATTTATGAGTTTGCTTCTGGGCTGCGCATCAGTATGGAAAAGTCCGTATAATATTTGTATTAGTATTTTATACTAGATTAATGGAGGTAAACAACGAAATAATGCACAACATAGTTGCTCTAAACTGGGTTATGTTTGTCAGTGGCCATAAAAGTCGTCAATAGATTTATTACAAAACTAACTAGGTTAGCTTTTATTTCAGTCCACCCAGATAAGCTCTGCTTATCAGACTAAAATAACATGCACATTAGTTTTTCGTCGAACCGCAAACACTTTCGTTGCAAGCGAAAGTCTTGCAACACTTTTGCCAGTTGCAAAAAGATATATAAATATGAAGTGCACACGAAATGTAATCTGATGATTGCTTAATCAATAAATACGTTTCAATCAAGGGGCTACGTCAAAAGTGCTGCAAATCGCTTGACACAATGGACATTCTATCAGATCTATTATATGCATTTGTTATACTTAATGTGGAATATATTGATTTTTTTTGTAATTTTATCAAAGATTTGTGACACCAACAATTTTGTCAAAACTTTACCGATTTTCCATTCCGGTCATGGTTCGTTCTCTGGATTAGTTCTGTAAAGAAATAATTACCGGTTTTGTTTACATATGGCAAGGAATTGTTTTTGTTGTTAAGCGGAAACACTCGGTTACTCTAACGTGAATTGGGTCAGCAGGTTATGTTTCTATATATATACATATATACTCTCATCTTGCTTCCTCTTCCTCCGACCCTCTCTATGTGTCCGCTGTAATGTGCCATAGAATTTGCATAAATAAATCAAAAAACTTACCTGTCCCACTTTTGTCCCCCAGCTCCTCTTGCATCGGGCTTTTTTCTATTGAGTTGTCTCTGTGTATTTTCCCGTCGTTTTCTTGTTGTTGTTGTTGTGCAGCAAACTGAACTCGTCAGCCTTTTGCAACGCGCCTTCCCCTTCCTTTGGGCCAGTGGAAAAGCGGGTTAATTGTCAGCCAACGTAGCCAAGTCAATGGCGCTTCTCTTTTTCCTATATTTATTTTGCATAACTATTGTTGGCGGCATAATTTCCGGACAGCGAATGCAATTTTGTAATTAAAGTAATTATTTAATTTCTTTTTTTTATTGGCGTGCACCATGCGATTTACCATCCATAATGTAGAAGTCGTTAAATGGCGTCGAAAAGGATTTACACAAATAATTCAGAGCCTTAAAGCTTTCACAAGTGCAATTGCTTGTTATTCCAATACTCAAATCTATATATATCTATATATATATATATTTATATGTCCGCTTATACATCACTTAGTTTTCAGCTTAATCTCTTTTGTAATTGTCAATTTGTTCAAAAGTCAGTTGGCAATATTTGATTTGTTGAAGGATGAGTCAATAGTATTGACACGTAATTTAGTATTAATATATATATTTTTCATCTTAAAATCCATTTAAATCATTCGTAGCTTGCCTTTCCATTACTCAAATATCCACCATGGTCATATTAATTGATACAATCTCTATAGCCATACTTGAACTGATTGTATATTAATAGTTGATTTGTTACATATCACCTCGTATCGAATAATAATAATATTACATAGATAAAGTAAAGGCAACCAGTTAAAATGGGTCAGCTCTATAAACCCAAATTGTCTTATCAAAGCGGAGAATATTTCGGTCGTGTTGCCATGTGGCCTATCAGATGATGTCGCTACAATGTTGCTGGTTGGCTTGTTGGGCATTAAGTCAACATAGCATGGCATATGCCAAAAGTTCAAAATGTTGGAAACTCAGTTGACACACACAGACACATACACACACACTCCCACACAGGCACAACACACACACAACTGCATATGCAAATGGAGAGCAGCCAATTAAGCAACATGACCTAGAATATTTTAACCCAATTGTGGCCCAACTCGGTTCGTATCACAGATGTGCACAACTTTGGTTTATATGTGATATATATATATATATATGTGTTTGTCTTTTGGCACATGCAACATTTGGTGCACTGAAGTAAGCATTTGCTTGTGCGTTGAATATTTAATTATCGTTAAAAATGCGTACTCAAATCACGTGTTACAAATACATATATATCTATTTAGATAGCACATATGTATCTATGTGAACGTTCTTTATATGTACAACACTTTATCCTTGTGCCTAGCCAAATAAACCAAATCGTAGACGGAAATGTATAAAATAATCAGCATAATCTCTTGGAAACAACACTTGATATATTTATAAATATATGTATATATATAGTACGAGTATATATCTATATTCTACAGTAATTTTATTTGATTGGGGTGTGAGCCATGGTCAAGTGCATATTGAATATTGTACTCATTGAGTTGTTTTAAGTACAAGTAATACACGTATTACATGTGAAACGGAGCCGTGATTCTATTTGAGTTCGTGCTTAGTTTAGTTAGGCTAGTCACGTGCTCTAAAATCGGGTTGGCTGTTGGCTATTAACTCTGACATAACCATGAAAACAGACGCAACAAAGCTGACTAAATACACACTTATGCATATGCATATATATTTGTGTAGATATGCGATGAGTGTCCACAAAATGTAAAAATGTTAAATCACTTTGATTTCATCAATGGACGCCATTGCAAATAGGTTAGTCGCACCACTCTCTCTCTCTCTCTCTCTCTCTCATCTATCTCTCTTTCTCTCCCTACACAATTGTCCACTTTTGAGTCGCTTTTGATCGTCGATCGTCAGCAGCGCTTAATTTGTCCGTCATTAGTTGAGCGCTACACATTTTGTCTTGCCAGGCACGTTTGCAACGAATATTTTATTCGTCGCTGCTTTATCGGACAGCGGCTTTCAGGCTCAATACGCATCGCTATCAGCTAAAGCCCTCCTCATAAAATCCTCAAAGTCAACCGTCGCCCACAACCCAACCAAGTGCTTAACTTGGTGTGAAGGTGAGAGCTGCTTGCCATGCTACTAAATTTCACATATATTATTTATTTGTATCTATGAAAAGTTAAACAATGTCTCAAAATATGCACACACTCAATATGAATTCCATTGACACTGAAAAATTCATATCTTTGCAATTCTTGTGCGGGCCGATTCCGTTATATTTGAACGTTTTGATTTTGTCTAGCGTTTTGTTTGTTCTATATATACAATATAGATATTTGTATATCGTGTGACTGCAGATACATACATATCAGAAGTTACATAAACTGCTATAAGCTCCGAACTAATCAGTTATGTATAATAATAATATATGAATAATAAATAATATCAATTATATATAATACCACCAAGTACACAATAATACTGAACAACACTGAAAACAGAGTAGTTTTTGTGCATCTACAAAGAGTTGTATATCACACAGAAAGTTGAATTTTTATGACCAACAAATATGATGATAAGCAGATGCGTGAATTTATGAATAAATTCATTTTAAAAAAATTATAAATCCTATTGAAACTTAAAACTTGTTTATTGCAATATGTGTAAACGGGATGGCAGCGCTACGCGGCAGTTCGTAGCAGGCAGTTGCTAGACATCATTAGCAGGGATCGCTTAGAGTTGCCAGACTGCACAGATGATGCATCCAGTAGTCATGGAACAGTCATTCAGATGAGTCAGTCGCCGAGAGTTTTTACAGTCGTTCGCATCGAAAATAAGAATAATTCGCTTAAACGTTAATACAGACAATTTAAATAGACTAATGTAGCAAAATAATAATCACAAGAATTAAATATAAATAAAGATAATAATAAAGTTATTAAACAACATCTTCACTTAGCAGTCTCTTATCGCAATATCCAATTCTTCAGTCTCTATATATATACATTTTGTATATATAAATATATATGTGTAAAATTTGAAGAGTTCCATTATCAAAATTTGGTTACCCTCCACTTTGTATTTAATTCCATATCTATATATTTATATATATATCCATGACATATGTATGAAAATACAAATGTACATAAATGAATAATACCAGCGTTCTTATCACTTAATTAGCTACATTACAATGTAGTACTTAGCTATTATTTATGTCCTATCTGTGTTTCCAGTCAGTTTGCAGCCAACCGAAACCGATAAGACTCTAATATTTATTGTACCCCTTTCGTATTAAGCTCCTTGTATTATAGCATTGTGGGAATATTTGAAGTTGCTTAAAACGGTTGCTTAAATATACAATCTTGTTGGTTTTTATACTCTATTTTAACCGATCTTATTAAAGCAAAAAGCAAAGAGTTGACTGGATCGGATATATATATATATCTAATAGATGGTGTAGGAATATTCAGTTAAAAATTGGGTATTATTAGTACCACAACTGAAATTACTATCAATCACGAAAGGATATTCCATCTTCGGCAATCTTTTTTTTGGAATTTGTGTTATCAATTTTGCGCACATGCCGCATTGGATACGCTTATCGGGGGCTGGGTTTGCGGGGCAATGAAGCTGTCGCAGATGCTTATCTCTAGGCATATACAAATCTACGTGTGTTTGTATGTATCTGTATATTTTGACAATGTTACACGATAAAGGCAAATATTAGCCAAAGATAAGAGACCCAATGTGGCAAAATTATGCTGTTGCGATAATAGGTTAAAAAAATCACTTGCTTTTATTCCCTTTCTTTCCTTTTTTTTTTGGCGTCTCGTGTGCCGTGATAATAAGATAAGAGAAACAGAATAACCACAAGAAGATTGTAAAATCAATTGTTGTTGGGGTTTTCTTTATGGGGTTTGTGGCGTGGGACGGGTGGGGGTGGCATTATTGGGTGGATGCAGTGCCAACGTTAACGTCTCCCCAGTTCCTGTTGCAGCTGGTCGGTGGTCGGCGGATGCGGTGAGGAGAGGGGTAATGTGTATTTTTATTCTACGGTTTGTTTGGTTGCTTAGTCAACGGCTGATCGCATTAAATAAATGCAAATATACAAATTGTGCTTTCATAGCTACCAATACGGCAATAGCACCCTAACCCCCACCCCCACCTCCACCCCCACCCCCACCCACTCCCAAACCCCTTGACGACAGCTATAATATTGTTTTTGTTGTGGTGCAGTTTCGTTGAAATTGACGCTATTCAGTTCAGTTAGAAGTTGTTTACACAAAAAACTGCTGCTGCGTCGTCAGTTGCATTAATGTTTCTCTATAAAAAGAAGGCAATATCTACAAACATACAAACGTAACTCACAAACGGCCAATTCGAGCTGTATAATTCATAGGCACTTGGCAGACAGCAGCAGGCTAAATCGTGCTTCCTGCCAAAATAGAACCAACAAATATAAAATGCAGTTTTTCGCGTAAGTTTTGCAGCAATCAATTGAATCCCAAAGTGCTCTTGTTTAGTCAACCATAAAGAAAAACCAAACAAAACAACAAAAAAAAAAAAGGGAAAGAAAACAATTACCTTCGCCCATGTGAGTAGGGGGCGTGTTTGTTACGCCCATTCAAGCGTAGCCTAACTTGTTTTCCAATTTTATCCATTTTCATTCAATTAAATCTCGGCTACAACAAAATTGCTGTAGCAATCGAATTGACTTAATTTGCTGTTACAGTTTTTCCCTTGTTGTACGAAATTGTATTTAAAGGTTTAGCGAACTCTGAGTTTACCCCGATTTAAAGTTGAATGAACTTGGTTAGTGGGTGAGAAGATTGCATCTGTATTTAATATATTTTACATCCATAAAATCCATAAAATGTTTAACTTTAACTCTATAAAATGCATATTAAAACTTGAATAAATTGCTTTATTTTTTCAGTTTCTCCAAGATGTCCAAATATTCGGGCAAAAAATGTCGCCTGCTCTCGATGATGTGGCTGACGGCGTTCTTCTTCTTTGTGGAGATCACAGTGGGCTATGTGACCAATTCGATGGCCCTCGTTGCAGACAGTTTTCACATGCTGGGCGACATAGCCGCCCTGGTCATATCATTCCTCTCAGTTAAGGTGAGTATTCCCCAGCTATACATTAATGTCCATTTGTAGCTGACTCATTGCTTTTATTCTTTTTTTTTTTTAAAGATGTCACCCAAAAAATGGTCAAAGAACACTTTCGGCTGGGCACGTGCTGAGGTCCTTGGCGCTCTGGTCAATGCAGTGTTTCTGGTTGCCCTCTGTTTCAGCATCACGATTGAGGCATGCAAAAGGTGAGACACCTGTCCCAGCACCTATATCTACATATATATATAAATAAATATACGTAAAAATACGGTCAACGCCTCCACGTCCAGCGGGAAAGTTGAAAAATTTCGCCTTGTCACCGTTTCGTGTATTAACCAATTTTATTTCAGCTTTTTGTTGTTTTCGTTGCTGCTGTTTTTTTTCTTTCGATTTTTGTCACTTTGTTATTCGCCACGTTTCAATTTGCATGCCGGCTGCATACACAACATTCTCTTGCCACTTTACGATACGCGTTGTATTGTTTATTTATACGCTAACCGATCGTTTAAATGTGCATAGTCTGCTTCATCTTTGTTTTTTACTCGATTTGATAAACATTGAAAATCTGGGAGCGGCTTTGCTCGGCCGACTCATAGAACATTTTACAAAATGGCATACAAAGGCACAACGCATTACTTTTAACTTTCGATATTACTTGCCAATGCTATGCATCACCCAGATAAGCTTTGGTTTGGGTTTTTTTACTATAAAAAAGTATAGGCTATTTATTTAAAAGTTATCTCCAATTGTTAGGAGCGCGCATGTTTATTAACTTGTCTTTGTTCCAATGGGAGCTGTATGAATCTATGATATTTACAGACTTAGCAAAAATACGTATATTGGATATATCCGTTAATTTTAATAGAAACTGATAGACAGACATCACTCTATAGACTTGGCTGATAAGGAATATATAAACATTGATTGTGTCGTGTGGAGTCGCAGAAGTCACGACAAAATTATAATATATAAACAAATATATCATTACAATTGTTAAACATGTTTTTTTGTTTTCTAGCTTAAGGGGAAATCTTTTGTAGTGAGTTCCCAACAAATTCTATAATTACATTCTTTTCAAAAATCCATTCACACTTTAATTAAGGCAAATAGTTTAAACATATTTTTTTAAATATTTCTTGAAAGTCAACAGATTGGCTTGTGCTTCTTGACTTAAAAGTTATTATCAACGCGTATTTTCCATATAAGAGCTAATTACTAGTTACTAAACATTTTCACATGAAAACCCAAATTCACCCAACAGATTCATCGAGAAGGAGGACATACATCAGCCCAAGCTGCTGCTCGTCGTGGGCATACTGGGTCTGCTGGTCAATATGATAGGCTTGTGTCTGCTATACGGTGCGTATACTTTACATTATCTGCAAGTTTATCAATTTTATTAAGCGATTTGCATTTTTACAGAGCACGGCGGTAACCATGGACACTCGCATGGCGGTGGTCTGACACGCAATCATAGCCGCCTCACGGAGCTGGCCAACATGGACGAGGGCGAGGACGAGCAGAATGATTATGCCTATGAGAAGCAGAAGGAGAAACCGTTGAAGAAGTCCAGCCATGGTCATAGCCATGATCCCGGCCAGATGAACATGCGTGGCGCCTTCCTGCACGTGCTCAGCGATGCGCTCGGCAGCGTCATTGTGGTTGTCAGTGCACTGGTCGTGTGGCTCAGCGATTGGGAATATCGCTTGTACATTGATCCGGCTCTATCCATCGTCCTCGTCGCGCTCATCTTGCACTCGGTGTGGCCGCTGTTGCGTGAATCGGCGTTGATTCTGCTGCAAACGGTGCCAACGCACATTCAAGTGGATGCCATACAGAAGCGTCTGCTCGAGAAGGTCGACGGCGTGATGGCCGTGCACGAGTTCCATGTCTGGCAATTGGCCGGAGATCGCATCATAGCCTCCGCACACATACGGTATGGAGTTAATCGCCTTTCATTTTGCATTTTGCTTAACTTTAATTTGTTGCAGCTGTCGCAATTTGTCCGAGTACATGAAAATTGCCGAGAAGGTCAAGGAGTTCTTTCACAACGAGGGCATACACTCGACCACCATACAGCCGGAGTTTAGCGAGATTGAGGGCTGCAACATGTCCGATGGCACCTCTAGCATTAATATGAGCGGCTCCGATTGCTGTGCTCTCGACTGCCCCACCACCGACGAGGGCTGTGTAAAGGCCACCTGCTGCCAAAATAATAATAAACTGGTAATGAGAAATACTTGGAATTTGTATTGTCTCTGCTAAAACGATTAACTTTCAATTCTCCGAACAGAATCAACTGCCCTCGCCCACAAATTCACCATATATGTGCCGCCAGCGTAATGCGGCACGACAGGCTGGCGATGTTGAGGCCGGATCGCTGCTTGAGGCAGCAGCCGCTGCCAGTGGCAACCAGACGGTGGGCAACGGAACGGCGGTCACAGCGTCTGGGGAGCCAACGCCAAAGAACGAAATAGTCTGACAACAGCCACATCAGAAGCAGCATCAGCAGCATCCGCATCCACATCAGCATCAGCAAGCACAACAACATCATCAAGTACACTTTGCCACAACAAACCCAACCACAACACGTGATATATTTTACGAGCCAACAAACCAAGCAACTTCCAAAGCCTTCGCTACTAGCGATGCCAGTCCCAGTTTCTCGCTAACCGCACAGCGACGCCGCGAACTGCAGTTGCGGGCCGAGCTGCAGTCCATGGAGCAGGTGAAGCTCAGTGGTGGCGCCTGCACACGCAACGGTGACGAGGTGGCGCTCTAAACACGCCAGCGACGCCGACTGTCGTGAGCAGCAATTCTTTACTGTAGCGGCGTTAAATTTTGTGTATTTAGTGTGTGTGTGTGCGTGTGTGTATGTGTATGTGCCCCACCACCCCACCCAATGCCTGACCCACTGCACACCAAAAACACACTAACAGCGCACCGTTTTTCATTTTTCTTTTTATTCTTTGCTAGTTTAATTGAAGTCAAAATGTTTCGATCTAGAGAACCCCAGAAATAACGTGCTGCTGTCATTCATATAAATTATACAATTATATGAGATGTTAATAGCGTTAACTAAAACAAAATACTAGTTAATTTTAGCATTAATTCTAAAAAAAAAAAAGAAAACAAATTAACACAACATTTAAGAGTATGTACGTTTTTTACATTTTGAAAAAGTTTATACATGAAGAAAAAAGTATATTATATTTAGTAGTTATACATACTATATAGTTAATGATTAAAGACAGTGACCGTTGGCCGCGTTCGGTGCGAAAAGTTTAGCGAAAAGTTGAATGAATTAAAAAAAATACCTAGTGTATTACCATATGCAAATTCTATATTAAACAATACAAAAAAAAATGCATTCTGTATGTGTATGCAAGATTAGGAAATAGTTTCTTATTCTTAGTAGTTAATCGGTAATGCTAAATGTAAAAGAGGTTTTTACTGCAAAATGCAATTAAGACTTTATTTAAATTAAGCTATTTCAAATCTGTATGATCAATACAATATATGCTGTATTATTTCATGTTTGTTTGTCATATGTCTGCGTATATGTTTGTAAATATATATACATCAAGCATAATCATTTTTGCTATTAAATGATACAAATGCAAACCAAATCTCTATATATCATTTCCAATCGATATTCAACTTTTTCTTTCTATCTCAACCAAAGCTTTAATCTTTTTTAAAAATTGCATAAAACACAAGGTATTCGCCAAAATCCCTAGCTCTGTCAGCTCTTCCAAAAAGAAATAACATTTATTTTTCGACTTGATTTCTTCTACTCATTTGCAAAACTTTTACTTAATTGCGGCTTAAGTGAATTAATAAAATACATTTTAATTATAACATTGCTTTGATTTTTATTTACAAAGGAGATATTTTTTATGTTCAATTGAGGGTTAGACGTGAGACATGTATTAACAAATAAATTTAAATAACGCCATTAATATGGAATGTTAACGAGTTTTATAAATACTTAAATTGTGTGCAAACTTGTGAATTTAACGCTCAGGCTCGTGCTCCCCGTCATCGATGCAATGCATCTATGAGAAGAGCAGCTGGCGCTATAAATTCTCATCAAGATTCTCATCGGTGTTCTCTTCCACAATTGCCTCGTCCCAGGGGCCATGGATGTTGAACTTGTACCGCTGCTGCTTTACAAAGATGAGCGGGCAAACGAAGTTGATGAAAAGTGTGGTGCAGGCATAAAGATAGAGCACCGGGCTCGATATATAATAGAGCGAGGCGCAGCAAATGACGAAGATGGGCACCATGCAGAGCGCATGCCATGTGGCTGCGATCATAATGGGATACAGCACAAAGAATATGGCAGCCTCGACAAGCAGCACAAAGGCGTGATATGATGTGGAAAGTCGCGATGCCAGACAGATGGCTCCGAATACAGCCGCATTCAGTGAAATGGCCTTGGAGACCATGGCCACATCTATGCCGTAGTCGGAGAACATCAGATTGAAGAGCATCACAAAGAATGTCATTGTGTAAATGGTGTCCGTGCTGATTGCCTGTGTCAAGGTGTGCAGCATGGGAGAAAAGATGTAGCCAAAGAGCAGCACAGTGACGAGGGTCTTGGAATCCTCTCCCAGCAAAGTCATGCTAAGGCTGCTCCCACGATAATACAAATATCCCATGGCCGTAATGATGCAGGTGGGCACCAGAATGCTGGTGGGTGCAAGTCGCTCGCTGAGCATCATGTGATAGAGTATCAGAAAGCCGGTTATGCACGAAATTTGATTATTCAGCACGGTTATGCCGGCAATAGCCTCGCCAAGCGTGTAGATTCGCACATGGAGATTGGTGCGCAGATCTTTCAGGAAACTCGGATCCGTATAGTTGTCCGGATACTCGCGGTTTGAATACAGGTTCTTGACCCATGGTTTTCGCTTAAAATGCACGGTTTTAGCCATTTTTCAATAAACATTAAATACATTGAATTACATACGGGTTTGCTTACAAACGAACAGCTGATCACAATTATCGATGCCAAGTGCAGTCGCAGCTATAGATTATCGATGCTACGTGCAGCTGTATATCAGTTTCGTACTTATCGATAATCTCAAGTCGTATCAAACAAGTACATTTTTAAATTTGATTTTTATTGTTAAAATGTGTTTTTTTATTTTAGCTTATGAGTTAGTTGTATAAAGACCACGTATAAGGCATAGTTGTTAAAGTTACGAAGGCAAAAGTGCCCTGGGCAGTGATATATGATTGCAAGTTTCAGTTAAAATCAGTTAAAATCCATTGGATTATTCAAGAAAACTCGTAGAAATGCATCCATCAATAAATTTGAGAATAGCCTTCAAAATATTGCGTTAATATTGTGATTAGGGACGTTCGTTAGAATATAAAAATGGGCTCTAAACAAGGCCACTGTCAACAAATAAACAAATTTCTAAAAATGAGAAACAATAGAGTCTACGACCAGCCGCCCGTCAGCTTGTGGAAGAGTTCCTCATTCAGCGTCTGATTAATATCCTTGGAGCGCATCGACATAAAAATGTAACCGCCGATGAACTCGTGGACGACTTTGCAATCGGCGGAGTGGCAAGAGAAGACGACATTCTCGTCATTAAATTGAATCATCATGCACTTAATGCCCCAATTGACATTCCAGGCTTTCATATTGTTGTAGCGCCAGGTCTTGATATGATCCCCAGAGTTCAAGTCCATGCGCATTATGCGATTCTGGGCAACGCCCAGCAGCTCCTCCTTGCGGTGGCCATCGAATTTTATGACAAACAGTGTGACGCCAAAGTCCGGCAGCGATTGCCAGGCCTGAATATACTTCAGCTTGGCCTCCAACAGTGACAATTCCCGGACATTGGCATGTGCCTCCAGAATGCGTTGCACCGCCTTGCCGGCCATCTTGCGCAGCATCTTCGCCGACAGATAATCCACAGCGTCCACCGAGCGTGGATCGATGTTGACGTGTACACCCTGCACGGGTCGCTGCATCTGCAGCAGGGACAAAATGCCATCGACTTCGCTCTCGTATGTGCTATCCGCTAGGGTGCGTCCCTTGGCGGCCAGGCGACAGGCTGCCAACCACTTGGCGTATTGCTGTTCGTTCTCGCAACGCACCCAGACCTCGCTGTTGGGTCCATTGCGGTCGTCGGGCGACACCTCCAGACGTATGGCATATTTTCCCTGATCCAGATTCACATCTGGCGTCACCTCGCAACCGCGCAAATTGATGCTGATCGAGGGTGCAGTGCGCCGCGATTCCTCTGCGCTCTTATACAGATGCAAGTGCAAGTCGCGATAAGTGAAATAGTAGCGCTTGTAGCCACGCAGCGTGAAACGCTGTGGCTTGAGGAAGCGCAGATAATCGGAGAGTTCCGGTATGCGTGTAATGTTAATCGGATCGTGTGCACTGCTACCCTCCAGTGTGATCTGCAGTTCATTGAGCGCTGAATCGATGTCATCGTCATCGTTCTCTTGACTGGACGTCTCAATACCAGAGTCGACGGTTGTCATCGGCTGCATGTCCACCTGATGATTCACCTGAAACTGCAACGCGGCAAACATGAGCGTCTCCTGCTCGCTGCAGTCCAGCTCCTCGTTCAGTATGGACCACTTGGCCTGCTCGTACAGCTGATTGATGCGCACCTGATCGTACTTGGGATTCAAATCGAAGAACGTATAGTACTTGAAGCGCAAGCAGAGCGTATCATATTCGCGTATGCCCTGCTCCATCAGCGACAACGAACTGTCCAACCAGCCGACATTGAGACGTGCCTTCTCCACCAGCGATTTGGGACGCAAGAGGCGAGCGCGCATCTCGGCGCTCAGTGTATGCGGTGAGCTGGCCAGATTCTCCTGAAAGTCACCCAAACTTGAGGAGGACGAGTCAAAGGTGGCATAGCCAGTGCGACTGGGTTTCCAGGTGCCCGGCGTAGGTGAGCGCCTGGATGCCGCAGTGACTGCATTATGCGGCGACAGTGGCGCACAGAAGAACATGCCTGGTGCTGATGGTTTGTCAAGGCTTCCATTGCTGCCCCCGTTAAAGGCCGAGTTGATGGGCACAAAGGAGTTGGTGTCTGGTGCCGGCTGCAGATATGTTGTGCCATCCGGTTCAGCGATGGGCACCCGCTTCTGATGCGGCAGCTGGGCAAAGTTCTTCTTCAGATGCTCTGCCTCGAGCGGTTTGCACAGCGACAACTCCTCCGGATAGCGGATATCCAGCAGTTTGCACAGATTCACAACGGCGGCGAATGTCTTCACCGAATAGTCGACACGGCAGTCCAAATACCGCAGATCTGGCAATTGGACGCGAAGCATCTTGTGCATGGGCGTAAAGTGGAGCAGACTGTCCGCTTGAATGCCACACTGATCCAGCGTGGCTCGGGTGCGTGCTAGCCAAATGTTCTTGACCGGCCAGTAGAGTGCATGATCAGACCAATCCTTGGGATTCTCCGGATCGACCAGCTGCAGCATTATGCTGCCCAAATGCTGGTCGCCGCGCACGCGCATTGTGCGCTCCAGCGCCAGATCCGTAATGTATATGCGCAGATTCCATGAGTTTTCGCCAACGTGAATCATTGTTAATTTTAAGATGTTGACGTCAGATTTGCCCTTAATCTGTAGCTGCTCTCTCTTTCTCTCTCTTTGTGTCTGACAGCCTCAAACGTCCTTGGGGCGGCGCCTACGTTCGTTTGGCTCGCCTACAAAATGAAATGAGATTCGTTTTGCAGCTGTTGTTTAATGTGGTTCTTTCGATCAAATAATGCAATTTGGGCTACATACTTTAATGCGGGCACGCTACATATGCCGTAATACTACCGGATGCGCGTAATTGCATTGATTGATTTTCACTTAAGAAACTGGAGCAATTAATGAAAATGCATTGAAATAGAAAGCGCCCAGTGTTCAACGTTCAATGTTCATTTCAGAGATGTGTAGATCACTGATGAACAACATTGTCTTAAATGAACTATATGAGTGAGTACTTGGTACTTTCAATGAGTTCACTTCCCCGCGCTATCAGAAAGTTTTTGAATTTGAATTTACACCTGCCCATTGGGTTCTTTGAAATAAAGCCAGCAAATGTATTGACTGATATTCACTTTAGAAAACGTTTAATAACTTAGAATGCATTTATCTAAACCGCGTTCAGTGCACAGATTCAAGCTGCTTGGTGCACCTCTGAACCAGTTTGGTCCATACCAGTTATGTGAACCAGCTGTGTGATGCGATGGTATTTTTGGTATTTTCAACTAGTATCGATTGTATCGAGCGATAGTCGATAGCTATGTTGGCGGTCGGTATTACCGTTACATCTCCGCCAATTGTCTTTATTTGCCATGGCAACGGAATTCAGATTGAAGCAGGCCCAATGCGATGATTTACAATGATTATGGACAAACAAACAATAAACAAACGACAAAATCGTAACCACAGCAGCAGCCAGTCAATTTTCAGTTACAATTCGACAGCTGCCGGCTTTCGAGTTCAACTCACACACACGAATACAAATATACAACGAATTCAGCACTAACAATATATTTACACATCAAAAAATTAGCTCTAGTAAATTGAACTTCGTTGTGAAATAAAAATAAAATTTATAGCGCCGACGTGGGCATTTAAATGGTATCACCGCGCAAATCTGCATCCACCATCAGTGAAGAATCTAGGTGGGATAACAACATGGCCTCGTAAGTATATCCAAGTATACATAAATCCCGTTTTTCATCCCATATGAATCGCAGGTTGCCGGCAAAAAGCTGCGAAAGCCTCTACTCGGCCAGTTCGCGCGAGTCTGCTCGCCAGATCTATCAGCGCAAGCCGGCGTCTCGCACCACAAACGGAGCGATGCGTCAGGCAACCATGGTGCCCAACAACACCACTAGCGATATACATCAGCGTGTGATGTCCGCACGCAATTTGCGCGCCAAGACCTTTCAGAATCAGTTGGCCGATGCCCAGGCGGAGATTGCCAATTTGGCGCACGAGAATCGCATGCTCCGCACGATGCACAAGCGGCAATCAATGGCACTGAATAAGTACGAGAATACGGGCGCGGAGCTACCGCAGCTATTGCATTCGCACGCCGAGGAGCTGCGTGTGTGGCAGACCAAGTATCGCAATGTGCAGGCGGTCAACAAGGATCTTGAGCAGAAGCTGAAGCAGAAGGAGGCACAGATTCTGTCGCTGAGTGACCAAAACAAACACTTCAGCCAACTCATCAAAGACAAGTTAGTCCGGAGTATAGAATCAGTTTAAGTATTAAATATATTTTCGCATTATAGAAACTTGGATGAGCGCCAGAAGCTGCAGGATAAACTGCGCCAATTGGAACAGCGCCTGCAGGATAAAGATAACGACATGAAGCTAATGGCACGCAAGGTGCAATTGGAGTCAAAGAATTTCCGCCAGCAGCTGCTCAATGAGCAAAAGAAGAGCAAGGAGGTGATGCTGAAGCTGGAGAAGGCCAGGCTGGAAATCAGCGGCTACCGCAAGCTGGAAGAGTTTACAGTTAGTCTCAACAGATCCCACATATTCAAATTGAAAATATATTTTTATTCATAAAATATCCCTTAAATTCAGGTGGACAAGACTAATCCATTGGCTTCAGGTCGCCGAACAAAATTGGGAGCAGTCGATGAGATTGACAAAATTGATAAGCTTGAGAAATCATTGGATCTGTTGGACAGGGCCATTGAGAAGAATAATCAAAGTGAATTCAATGCATTAACCGATGTGCTTGAAACCGACTCGAATTTTGACTTTGAGAAGGATGATGCCGATGAGGAGGACAAGGACAATGATATTCAGGTTAAGGATAACAAGCCAGTGCGCGCCAAATTTACGCTGCCACCGGCCACAACTCAACCCAAGCCGGTGGCCAACAATGCGAACAACATAACACGTCTCTCGCTCAGCCAGATGATGAATCAGTCCAAGCCCAGTCCTTCTCGCAAACCGAATCCACGACTGCGAAGTGGTGGACTCCCAGCCGGAAATGTGTCCGCTGTGACCGGCAGCGTTGTGCGTAGCACTGCTGCCAGTAAGCGTCGTGATGCGGAACTCTGCTCCAAGCAGGCCACATGCGAAGCATCGGCAAACAATAAAATGCGGACGCTAACAAAACCATTGGAATTCGATTACGAAGAGGACTCGGAGCATGACGCAGATGATGATGATGTCGAGGCCAACTTTGGCAGGGGTAACGACGATGATGTTGACACTGATGAGGAACAGAATCCGAATGAAATGAGCCTAGTGGACTATGCTCCCTACTTAAATACAAAATGTGAATTGGGTAAAATGATGGGTATGGATAGGGACGATGACGAAGACGATGATGACGACGATGATGTCGAATCACCAGAAGGCACAGCAAAAGTTGCTTTGGTAAGTGGAATCCCGATTCCCATTTCCCTCCCCAAAAATATACAAAAAATATCGCAACAGGGTAATTCACGCGGACCCAACATGAAGGAGAATATGTCTGGCATACGGAAGATTATCTCGAATGACTACAAGGAACGCGAGAACTTCTTGGACATCCACTGTCGCCCCAATTCGGGCAGCAACATCCGCACCGATGATTCCGCTAAAAATAAGAAGAAGAACAGCAGCATCCCAACTGGCGGTGCTCCAGCTGCTGCTATTGGCGGTGGCCAAATGGTTGCCAGTCGCAAGCATGCGCTACTCGCTGCCCTCAAGGTCATCGACGACAACAAGGATGAGAGTTAGTTAACGTTTTTCTAGACTACATAAGCTACGTTAAGTTATATTTTTTAATTGATTGCAAGTAAAGAGCTCGATGCGCGCCAGCCGAAGCAGGTGCAGCAAGCCCTGGAATACAAATGCTGCTACACCAAATGGATGACTTACCCATTGGCATTGGCAGAATTTGGGCTAGTTCTTGTTGCAACTGCTTCAGCAATGCTGCGCCAGTAACAGTTAGATATATCTTTTCGGATAGTTGTCCAATAGGGGACTTTAAATTAAGATACTTTTCATTTAACAAAAATAAATATATTTTTTATAATTATAATTGTATATTCGACTTAATATGGTAATTGATTTTGGCCAAGATTGAAGCCTTCAAAAAGATAAGAAACGCGTTTAGAATAAGAATCCAGTTATCGATGATATAGTGGTCTATTCCGTCCGACGTCGACACAAAAATTGGAATATATTCCAAGTTTCATTACGAAAACTTCAAAATTTAAACCAGAGAAAGTGAAAATGTTTCAAAATTTATTTTCTATACAATCCTAGCTGCTTTACATCGATGAATCATTTATCGTTCTTGCCACGCATTTTGCTGATGGCCCTGGAGACCTTTTTACGCAGTTCCTTTTGTCGTTTCATTTTGGATGCTTCATCGGCGCGTTTCTGTTCCCGGAATTTTTGCAAGCGTTGCTTGGTTTCCTTGCGATCGCGACTACGCTTGTCCCGGTAGGTCGTCTCGATCATATTCATCATTTTAGACACCTTCTGCTCGTAGGGGGAGTTGATGAAGGCTACGCGTTCGAGCGCCTCCCTTGGATTCTCTGGTCCCAGCTTGGGCTTATCCTTGTAGGGCAGGGCGCGCTGCAGTGCCTTGGGTATGACTAGTGGGCGGAAGATCTTTGGTTTGCGCACGATCTCCGTATACATGCTGTCCGGCTGTGCCTCGTTCTGGAGCGCACGCTCGCGCTTCAGTTGGCCGAGCGTCTTCATGCCCTGCCAGTGGCTCTTCTGCTCCGGCGGTAGCAGCAGCGAGGTGACGGGCGCATAGAATCGTGGCACCTCCACCCGAAACCAGGTGCGACAGAAGACAATATCGCTGAGCAGGATCTTGTCCTCGAATGTGGCACGATAGGAGCCCTCGGGCGTGTGATGGGCCTTCTTGATCTGGCCACGTATACCGGATACGGTTTTGATTTTGGCACCCTCGAATTTGGCCACCTCCAGCGAGGAGGTGAACATGTCCTTAATGAACGCCGTATTCTTGTATATCTTAAATGGATGACCCACCAGCTTCAGCTTCTTCATTATCTGCGAAGATTTGTCCAACTCGGTAACACAGCCTGTGGCAGCTATCCGAAAGCCGAGACGCTTCATTTCCTCCTGATCCTGGCGCACGGTTTGCAGCGCGAGGAAACCCGTATTTTGTGGCGTTATCGGTCCCCAGAAGGTCATGCTGCAGGTGACATGATTCGGCGTATACTTCAGATAGCGATGCCTAAAATTGTCCTCCACCTTGGCATAAATAGCGACAGTCTGGAAACGACGCCAGCCCATCGAGACGATAATCGGATCGCCCGTCTTGAGGATCTTCTTGTACCAGCGATGTTTCTTCACCTTGCAATTGACATAGCCCACATTCTCCTCGGTCATATTGAGGGCACCCACCAGCACCGGATAGCTGGCATCGAAATTCTCCACAAATTCCGCGGGTAGACTCTTGAAGCCCAGGCGCACATAGAGTCCGGCGCGATAGCCTTCGATTTGGATGCGCAGGTCGTTGTCCAGATGGGCGAACTCGCTTTTGTTCAGCTCGCTTTGCTTCTGCGCCTCCGCCTTGAGGTCGTCGTAGAAGCCGTGATCGCCAGTGATGCGTCCGCCATCCTCTTCGCCCTTCTCGCCGGTCTTGTCGTACTCTGCATCGAATTTCGCTTTGAGTTTCAGCTTCTTGGCCATTAGCTCTGATTTGGTCAGATTCTCCTCCTCGACACGTGTCATTTTGCGCTTGGCAGCTGTGTTTTCTGGCTGACTGGCTGGAGCAGCTGCCTCATCATCGCTTTGCTCCTCATCATTAGTTACTTTAGGCTTGCCGCTGTGCTGCTCACCCGTTTCCAGATCCTCAAAGTCACCGTACACCTCGCTGTCTGCATCGCTCATGTCGTCCAGTTTCAGCAGATTCTCAGCATCCTCGGACGCCTTCCATTTGCCAGTCACAAAACAGTTCTTGATCAACTCCTTGTTTGCGTCGGACAGCCAGTCACGAGTGGCATCTAAGGCAGGATTAAATATTTATCATTTCCAAGAATCATTTCAACTTTATTATAGCTTTGGGGAATCTCACTTACCGCCCTGATACTCGAAGAAGCAGCGTTCGTCCTTGTCGCGAATGTCTAGATCCTTTTGCATTTCGGTTTGCTTTTTGGTCGTCAAGCGAAACAGGCCGCCCAGTTCATCCTCCGAATCCTCGGCGTCCTCCTGCTGTTGCTGTTTGCTGTGTTCGCTCTTATTGTAAATGCCGTAGACGAGACGCATCAGATTACGTGACTCCGAGTGGCGTTGCAGGAAGGCATCGCGCGCCTTTTGCGCCAGATTCGTTTTCCAGCTCATGTTGCTGGCCAGAATGCGTTCTTCCTCATCATCATTATCATCATCACCATCATCATGGTCGGAGTCACTGTTCGCTGCTGTTTTATTGATTTCCGTCAAGTTTTGATACTCCTCATCACCCGATGATGCCTCGTCGCTGTCCTGATCCGGCTGCTCGTCGTCATCATCGTCACTGTTCTCGTCACGCCAATCCTTGGCAGCAAACTCGTCAGTTTGCTCCTCTTCATCACTGGAGGCGGCGTCCATTCCAGAATCTTCAGCACCGTCGTCATCCTCTTGCTCGGACGCCTCTTCGTCACTTTTGAAATCCTTGGATTTAATGGGCGCAGCATCGGAGAACAGTCGAAACTCCTGCTCTTCCATTTGCTCATCCATGGTGGCTTTCTTATCGATCAGCTTGTTGACCAGCGCCTCCTGCTCGGTGGCCTCGGCCGTCTTCTCCTTGTGCGAGTGTGAGCCGTGCAGCTCAATGTAGACAGCATCCTTGTCGTAGACAATGCCACCCACACCCGACATGGGCGCATAGAGCAGACGCTCCTTTTCCAGCAGGCTGCGCTTCTTCTCGGTGCCTGGCAGCGGACACGGATCGGGTATCAGACTCAGCTCATCAATGCGTGCATCGCCCAGGCCGGCAATGTGCACCATATGCTCCTGCTTGAGCGGCACACCGCGCACATAGCCATAGAGCACCACTTCCCGATCGCACTTCGGATTGCGACGCACTGTGTCCGTATTGGTCACATCCTCGAGGCGATCGACCAGCAGATAGCTGTGCGCGCCACGCCATTGCAGCGGCCGGAACTTCATGACGGATATGAAGCGACCCAGATTCTTGATCTCGTTGCGCAGATACTCGCCATGCAGCAGCCCTGACAGATAGAAGAGCTTGGCGCCATCGTAGACCTCTGTCCAGAAGCGATGCTTGAGCTCTTTTTTGCGCTTGCGCAATTGTTTCGGATTCTTGATCATGTCCAGGTGCGTAAGTACGCCCATAATCTTGGGCATGCCGTGCACCTGGCAAATGTTGAGAAACTCAAAAATCTCCATTTCGAAGCCGTAGCTGGCATCGCAAAGCAGCAGCACCAAATCCGCACACTTGGCCACATCGATCATTGAGTTGACATCGTTGTTGCACTCCAGCAGCGTGATGCGACGCTTCTTGGATGTCACAATCGTGATGGGGCCACGGATATCGGTGACATTGGTGCGTGTGAAACTCTTGATCAGATCTTTGATCAGCGTTGTTTTGCCCACTTTGGGTGGGCCAACAATGGCAATCATCACTGGTGGCGGCTCATCGGGTGTCTGGTCAACGACTGGTATGTGCTGCTTTTTTGCCGTTAGATCCTCTTTGCGTCGGAAATTGCGCTCCGCACGTTGTGCTGAGTTGATGGCAAACGCTTTGGGATTGCGTTGACGCGCTGTTAGCTCCGGTTCCTTTTGGTTCGCGTCTTTTTTGGCCTTTACCTTCTTCTTGTCGGCCTTAACGCCGGACTGGCGTGCCCGGTGTTGCTTGCGCTTGTCCTGGCCAGCATCGTCGGCCATTATTTAAGCGAAATTGTAAATTTCTACAAGTGTTTACCAATTGTTGCACGTGCTGGCGGCAAGAATAATTACAGTTTTGGTATTTAAATACTAAAACTACAGCTGCATTTGAGCTGTTGGCTTTTAGCTTTGAACAGAGTCTGGTTACATTCATTAATTTTGGTTCATTTTGGTTTTGCGGGCCAAACGGTCACACTGCGCTGCAAAGCCATTTTTTCGCATTATTAATTTTTAGTTAAACTTGCAAAATGTTGCTGCGTTTGAGAAAAGTGAAAACCTATTAAATAGGTTCGCACCACAGACACACACACAATCGCGTCCTTTGTTCGCCAGACGGCAGCGGCGCTGGCACACAAAAAAGCTCAAAACTCGCTCTGGCACACTGGAAAAAGCAGCAGCAGCAGAGGCGGCGCGTAGTAAAAAAGTAAAAAGTCTTCTTATAGGGAGCCGAAGAACCGACGAAGCGACGGCAGAGTTCAGGTAAATGTTAATTAAATGTAAAACAAAGCACATAAGTTAGCGTGTGTAATTGCAAGTTTCGTCATTAAAAAAAACGCCCCAATGAATTTGTCGGCAACTTTGGCGACTGTGGCGTGTGCGAATGCGAGAAAGAGGGGCCCGCAATAAAGGAGGAGGAAGAGCAGGGGTCTGCTAGCTGCTGCTGGGGGTTGTTGGCGGTGGCAGTGTCCGTGGTTCATTTCAGGAGCCGCTTGCACCGAGATGTTTGTCCAAGTCGCCTCAATGCCAACTGCCAATCTGGCTGACCTTGTGTTGCTATCGATTTCTGAAATTGCATAAAAAGCCAAAAAAAAAAGGAAAGGAAAAGGAAAAAAAATCAACAAAATGTAAAACGACTGCAGACTGCAGAAGCAAAAGTCAAGTGAACTGCACACAAGTGAAGGTTAAACATTTTCTATGGCACGGACACCGTTCTTTGTTTGCACCGCCTCGCGACAACAACAATCGCAACAAAAACTGAAAAATATGTAAGAATTGAAAATGAAAACAGCAACAGAAAGCACAACAAAGGCGATCAGAATCCCAGATGCGCATACATTATTCTTTATTGTTTTGTTTGGTTTTCCTTCTTGTTTTTGTTTTTCTTATTGAAATCGAAGCGAGAGCAATAATTCATTTAATTTAATAATCCATTTAACGACTGCTTTCTGTTTCGTGTTGTTTTTCTAGATATGGAAAGTCCTTGCGAGTCGGAGAGTTCGCTGGATGGTGGAACTATGCTGCCACCTAGTCCAGTATCCCGGGAGCAGCTACAGAAGCGCATCGAGTCGCTTACCCAGCAAAACAAGTGAGCAAACAAATTACATTAAATAGAATATTTAAAAAAAAAACAATATTGTATTTTTTTGCAGAGTTCTGAAGGCTGAGCTTGACACATCGAAGACTAAATGCAAAGTGGTGCAGGAGGAGAATCGCTTTTTAAAACACGCATCTGTCATAATTGTGAGTGCTTGAAGAGGCGTATTTATAACCAATATTTAATTATATATCACTTCAACAGCAAGCCAAGGCGGAGCAGGAGGAGGAGTACATTTCCAACACATTGCTGAAGAAAATCCAAGCGCTGAAGAAGGAAAAGGAGACGTTGGCGCATCACTACGAGCGTGAGGAGGAGTGCTTGACCAATGATTTGTCCCGAAAGCTGGACCAGCTGCGCCAGGAGAAATGCAAGTTGGAGCAGACGCTTGAGCAGGAGCAGGAGTGCCTCGTTAATAAGCTAATGCGAAAAATTGAGAAACTGCAGGCGGAAACGGATAACAAGCAGACAAATCTAGAGCAGCTGCGTCGCGAAATGGTCGAGCTGGAGAACACACTCGAACAGGAGCAGGAGGCGCTGGTGAACAAACTATGGAAGCGCATGGACAAACTGGAAACCGAGAAACGTTCACTGCAAATAAAACTTGATCAGCCGGTGTCTGATCCGACAACGCCACGTGATATCACCAATAATGCCAATGGCGACACCGCCACCAATCTGAGCGCACACATCCAGACGCTGCGTGAAGAGGTGCTGCGTCTGCACGCCAATCTCGCTACCGCCCAAAAGGAGGAGAAGTCCATACGGGAGGAGAATGCACGGTTGCAGCGCAAACTCAAACAGGAGGTGGAGCGACGCGAGGCACTGTGCCGCCATCTATCCGAATCGGAGTCCTCACTCGAAATGGACGAGGAGCGCTTCTACAATGAGAACCTCATGGCTGGCGGCCCAACAGCGGCTGCAGCGGTCAATGCTCAGCGACAGCGCACCATTAGCAGCCCCGTCTCGCACAGTCCTTCAAGCAGTCGCCCTCTAAGTCCCGGAACGGCGGGTCAAAACCGATGCTATGCCTGTGGGCAACTTGTGGTAAGCACTCAAATTATGTATACAGTGATCACTATGAAATTGGAATTGCCCAGAAATTATAATTGTCTGGAATTTGAATGCATAAAACTTTCTACCTTAATTACTTTGTATTTAAAATGTTGAAATTCTGGAATGTAAGAGAATTTGAAACTCAGAATTTATAACTATTCGCGAATAAGAATCAGTTTTGAAAGCGTTTCAATTTCTAAACGACGACTGTGAAATCCTTATGAAAATACTTATTTTAATTATATTTGCTTTTTAGAATCGTCGCGCCAGCGAGCGCTTCATAAAGCCAGCACTGCCTACGCCCATGCTGGGCCTAAATACTTCCGCACCGAATGTGCTAACAACGACAAACCCATTGTTGGCCACCGGTTCGGCTGCCATTTATGGCGGCACTGGTGGCGCTGGTGGTGCTGCTGGTACCGGTGGTGGTGGAATGTCTAGCTTTCTATCGACGCTGAGCAGCGAACGACTGAGCTTCGGCGCTGGGGGACAGCAGCCGCAGGCAGCGGGCAGTGCAGGCACATTCGTTGCCGGCGGCATATTGTCGATGAATAACCAGTTAACAGGAGGCACATCAAGCAGCGCTTCGTCCTCGTCGTCCAACTTGATGAACAATTCGTCCAGCGGCAATTTGATCAACAGCAGCAGCAGCAACTCATCGCTATCGGCTTTCACGCCCACCAATCAGCCAAGTGGTGCGGCCACGGCCTTTATCCAGCCGGCCAGCCCCATGGATACTTCCACATACAAGGAATAGGTGGCTCTGCTGCCATAAAATATATATATATATTTTCTCTCCCACGCTACACACCCACTCACACAAACACACACAAACTCACCCATACAAAAGCATACTTACACAAATACGCACGCAAGCAACCAGTTTAATGAAAGTATAAAACCTTAAATCTCTATAATGTAAGCTTCCCTCTATGGAGCGGCTCAAAGTCGCATGATTTATTTCTATTATTGATATCAAAATCTCTTATAGTTATTGCGACATACGTAAACACCTTCAACTATAATATACTATTTGAATTCCTACACAGCGTTTAATAGGAATCATGATTACTTATATCTATGAGAATGAAATGATTTTTTACTTTTGTTCGGTTCGACTTAAATCAAGGGAACTAAGGAAACAAAAAAAAAACGGCATATGTTAAACCAATTTCCCCACTTTTCCCTCGCATGTATGTGGGTCTAAAATTTTTTGAAGTATGTATATGTAAGTCAACAAATAAAGTTCAACAATTAAAAATTATCAAATCAAAAAATTAACAGATTTTTTATTTTTCAAATTTAATAAGTATATGCGCAGATAGCCAAACAACTTGGAAAGCCTCTCGAAAAATGTGACAAATGTTTGAGCGTAACGGTCTTATATTATATTTTTGCAAAAGATCGATTACTTTTCGATGACAACTTAACATCTTATTAACATTGCCTAAAATAAATGATTGATCAATAACAGCTCACTTCAGCAATAACAGTCCACTGTAAAGAAATGTTCAAGGCACCAAAAACGTAGTATTAAAAAATTGGTTCTGAAATTTATATGATTTGATTGGTTGATTGATTTCGATTTTGTCGTAATGATTTCGATCGAAATACATCAATAATGCTCATGTTTAATCTCCTGTCAATAAAGATTTGTTGTCTCTTTTTTGCTGGATTTAAACTTGGTTAGTCGCTCCAAATAACCTATATTTATTTGCTGTAAGAAAAATTTAGTCATTGTAAAATATTAAAATAATGATCTATATTTTGATATATTGAAGCCAAGCCGTAAAAACAATAAAAACGGCATAACGGTAACCTATAAAGTGCAAAGCGTGGTAAATGCTTTAAGATATATGTCAATAAACTTGGCACAAATTAAAATCCAAGCGAAACTTAGGAAGATATGTCGATTTTTTTGCCACATATATATTTCATATGTGTAGAAAAACAATAACAGTGCATAGAAACTAATTATTAATCTTGCAAGCACCTCATCTGAAAGTATTTCTCATCGATGAAGCGGCAAAATGTCACCAAATGCCCAAATTTTTGCACAGTTTGTGCTAGAGCCATATTGGGCAGCCTTGTTGTCAAAATGCTGAAGAGATGGCCAAAAGCAATCGCATCCAATTCACAAGGCTGGTCGCCAAAGAAGAAGGGCGTATCTGGTGATTCTTTCAGTTTATATTCAAGCGTCTCACAGCACTTGGCCACTTTCTCGATGACATGTTCGATGTCCAGATCGTGCCACTGATACACCTTTAGCTGGCGCAGCGCATTCCGGCGCTTGCTGTAGTTTTGCATGAGATTTAGTGGCCAGGGATAGACGGCTCCATTGCGGGGCGCAGTAACTTCTTTGTAGACGCGCTCATTTTTGAAGCTCACATACAGTTCTGCCATGGTGAAGATGTTCTCCACCAGCGAAACATATGTACGCATATCGGCCTTCTCATCCTCATCCTGCCAGCTACCGATTGCCATGTCCTTTTGCTCCACAAAATTCACAATCGGTTCGAATTCGGCAAAAATAAATGCACCTGCACGGATGAATGGCAATTTGGTCATTCGGCCGCCGGGCGACATGTGCTCCGCATTGGCACAGGAGCGCACTCCGAATGGTAAATTGCACATCTTCAAGTAGGCCTTCACAGCCAGACAACTCGCGTTCTCCGGCAATAGGATTTGTTCCGCCTCAAAGGGCTGGCGGAGGAAACAAAAACAATAATACATTTCGATAAATTTATACATTAATGCCATCTGTTTACCTGATAGAGAGTGGCATCTTCGGGCCAAGGCTCCTCGGACAGTTTGTCCGCGGTGTGAAGTTGATTCAGATATTGCGAACTTTGCATTTTGTGTTTATTTTTATATTCAACCTTATATTAACGATGAAGTAATAATAACAGCTGTTCACTCATGGATTATGCAACACTAGCGAATATTTTCATTTTACAGTGACCAAAGAAACTGCTACTTTTAAATGTTAGTGATAAATATATAAAAGACCTTGTTTAATGGGCCGAACTTCTCAATTTTTCATAAGTACCAATATTTTATTGAAATTAATTTAACAGACAACTTTCTTATGTGTATTGTAAATATTTTAGGCAATATATTCGAATTTTTTGTTTAAAAAAAAACTGAAATAGAAGTACTCGTAAGAAGTACTTGTTGCTATCGATAACGGGTACTTAAATCTATCGCACATCTCAAACAGATTGCCACAGCTTGCACCTTTTGCTGCGAGGTTTTGTTGTTTTTGCTTGTTTATATTAAAGTATTAAAATCATTGGTATTTAAAAAAAAGTATTGTGTAAAAATAAATATTCTGCGTAATTTACACTCATTACTAATACTTTGAAGAATAGATCGGTGAGTAAGCGTCTGGGGGCTGTCTGCATGATATGATATACATATTTATGATATCGTCAGCGTATTAATTTACTATAGCTTAAATGGAATTTAAGTTAAAAGTTAAAATTTTTTGCTTATCTGCTAGCAGGAGGTGCGCCACTCCCGAAAATAAAAATTGATGGCCAACAATCTGAGAGAGCGCTATTTATGCCGGCCTTAGTGCGTGTGTGTGTGTGTTGGTGTTGGTATGTGTGATTCATGCGTCTGAGTCTTTGCCGCTGTGCATTTTTTTAATATCGGGCTGCCTAAGCAGCGGCGTCATCGACGCGTTCATTTCCTTGAACAATTCCCTCCAACCAAATCACTCACAGTTTGACGGGGGGCCGTCCAAGTTTCTCTCTCTCTTTCTTTCTCATTAGCTCTTGCTTGTTTCGATTTGGCGTTTGAAATTTGTTTCTTTTGATCAGTTTGTTGTTGTTTCAAAATGTTCTTATTCCGATTGCCTTTTGGCCTGTTTATTTTGTATTCACACTTAATTAATTTTCGTTTTGTAATTCAATTCAAACGTGCGATGTGTGTGTTTGCTAAAAAAAAAAGGTTCTCAGAATTTGAACATTTGCCGATTCTATTTCTCGTTTGAGCGCCGAAAATCTCAAACGAAAATATACAAAACGGTATAAAAATACAAGTTTTTATTATCTCGCCTGTCGCTGATCATGCGTCACAAAAACAATTACTACAGTTCAACAACTATATATCTACAGAAATACGAGAACACATTATGTATGCATTTGAGAAATCCATTTAAGTAAAAACTAGAAAAAAATATTGTAATTGAAATAGAACAAACTTATCGCTGTTCCACACATGGACATGGGTATAAAACCAGCGACGAGTATTTAGATAAAGCAAAACCAATAACAATAACAGATAATGAAAAAAATAATTGTGTATTTGTCAGTGTGTGTGTGTGTCTGTGTGTGTAAGTGTGGGCTAGGGGGCGATAGCAGTCAACCCATTGTGGTCAATATTATTCAATGCTGATGTGACACGCCTCATTCCTGCTTCATCTTTCCCTCAAGCGCTTTGAATATGCTTTTACCTTATCTGTGCGGACCTTTGCATATATATTATGTATGTATATGAATCGGTATATATATGCGAACACAGCTGCATCCATTTTTTGTCTAGCTCGTCCACACACACACACACACACACTCTCTCTCTCTCTCTCTCTGTCTCCCCCTATCTTTGCTCCTCCAATGTATGGTCAAATCGCGTTCACTTATGCGTTACTAATTGAAAATTAATCAATAATATTGAACGGGAAAAAACAATTTGCGGGTTTTTTTTATGTGTTTCTTGCTTCCTGCTTAGTAATTATTGTAACGGTATATACATATAATATTGTACAAATCAAATTTTGATGATAGATAAAAAAGAGACTAAATAATTTTAAGATTTTAGTGAAGCATCGTTCAAAATTATTATGCTTATTTTGTAGATCCTAAGAGCAAAGTTATCGTTACACATACGTGTATTTTTTTGAAAAGCAACTAGCGCGTTAATTTTCATTTTTTTTTAAACTTAAAAATACTACATGCATATGTTTGCCATTATCGCCCACATATCGTGGACTATACTAAAAATATGCTTGTGCCCCCATAATGAATAGCTGAACAGCATTTTATGCATAAATACAAACATACATATTTACTTACATTTATATTATTGCTGGGAACTCAAGATTTGCACTTATTTAAAAAAATTTTATAATTGTTAAACCATTTGACAGATTGCCATGGCCGAAACAGAGACGCAACACCATGATCCACATCATGATGAAGATGTGCACGATGCCAACTATCAAGCTCCGCCTGAGAAGACCATAGAGGAGTTGATGGCCGCCGATCAGGAGGATGAGAGTTTGCGACGCTACAAGGAGGCACTTCTGGGTGCCGCGCAATCCGAAATGATTATTGTCGGTTAGTATAAACAATCGATTCGATTCAACATGGAATAAAGAATATATTCTACCCATTTACAGATCCCAATGATCAGCGAAAAGTGATTGTTAAAAAACTGGCCCTAGTCGTTGATGGACGCGATGATATGGAATTGGACTTAAGCGGCGATATTAGTAAGCTCAAAAAGCAGGTTAGTCTAAATATAACTTTCTTCTCTCCATGTATGCTTTGTATTAACTTTTTTCTTTCCCTTAGCTCTTTGTGATTAAGGAAGGTGTTCAATATAAGGTGCGCATTGATTTTATTGTGCAACGTGAAATTGTTCATGGCCTTAAGTATGTGCAAAAGACCTACCGAATGGGTGTGCCAGGTAAGCATATCTCTCCACATACCATTAAAAAAGGGATGCTTTAGTTTATAGAAGATGTCCATATTACTGGTGCATGCCTGGGGGAGAAATGGGCTTAAATGTACCATTAAAATGTCGTCTGATTCTTATGCTCAACTGCATATAGTCCGAGTGATTTTAGTAAATTATGTTGGTGGCCTTACTTGCATAAGACTTGTTCATGGTTGTCTTGACCGTGTCATGCAGTATGGCTGCACTTTTACGGCTTTCAAATGGTCACAGCCACATCGGCATACCTCTTGGCCAGTGCATTTTAGTGTGTTATACACATTCACGTCAATTAGACCACTGCAGATTACAATGGGATCAGGCAGCTTCGATGGCACGGCTCTCTTTTGCGGCATATTTAGTGTGGCTTACATAGTGCTTATATCATTTGCAATATTTGCCATAATAATGTGCTGAGACAACATTAATTGTGTTATTATCTTTAATGCATAACCAAATTTGGATAATTCTTTAATATTGCTTTAAGTTGTGGGTAAGCTTTCTTTAATACATACGTATTCATATTTATTAATCGAGTTTACAATTCATCTCTATCGCAGTGGACAAAATGACGCATATGGTTGGCTCCTATCCGCCCAAGAAGGAAATTCAATTCTATTTGACGCCGGCTGAGGAGGCGCCCTCGGGCATGGTATCGAGAGGCACCTACTCTGTATCATCTGTGTTTACGGATGATGACAAGCACATACATCTTAAATGGGATTGGACCTTTGAGATCAAGAAGGACTGGGCATAAGACACAGCACACATAACTATATAACACTTAAAAAACACACACACCCATACACACACATACGCATAAAAGCCAACTGATTTGTTGTCCCAAGTTGATGTAAATGATTTTTGTGAAATTGTAAACAAATATTAAGCGAAATTCCTATTTGTCAAGTATTTTTGTTAATGGTATTATTCACCACTATTTTTTAAAATTTGTAAATGAAGCCATGAAAAGTATTTTTGATACTATCTAAAATGAGTGTGTGTTAATGTAAAGCAATTTACGGCTTTGTTGCCATGTAAAAGTCAGCCAGTCAGTCAGTCAGTCAGTCAGTCAGTCAATCAATCAATCAGTCAGTCAGTTGTACCATTAAACTCAGTCAGTTCTAAATGCCATTGGTTATGTAAAACATAAATTTTCAAACTGATTTAACGATGAATGATGATAAACTTTAAGAAAGTTTAATGCATTTTGCCTTGTATTTAAAGCATTAACATAATTAAAGCCCTTTTAATTTCATATGTATTTAAGAAGAATGCAATTTAAAATGAGAACACAACCCACAGATTGTATTAATTGCAGGAGCATCTCTATTATATGCATGTACTTAGGTGTAACAGTTAAATGCATTTGAGTAATGAATTATTTGTTAAACATACAACATATAAATGCTACACTCTGTACTCTATTCTAACTATCTGTCTGTGTAATTTGTGTACAATTTAAGTAAAAACAAGAAAAGCAACTGAAAAGCAATGAGAATAAAATGTATTTAAATATATCTTATCGCCCGTTTTTTTTTAAAGTGGGAAAACTACTGGGTTTGTTTCCACTTATTTGATTTATTCTTCTGATAAAGCAGATAACATTTCGGAAATACAAGAGTAAATAATGGCTTTTATTTAAGCTTTAAGCTGTTACAGCCATTTGTGGCATAACAGCAACACTGGTCAGGATTTGTCATCAGCATTTGCACAGATTAAGAATTATAATAAGTTGCATGGACGACGAAGTTGGATGTTTAAAAGAGGGGTATCTGTGGTGCTTTTGTCCAGTTCTTTTAACTAAAGTGTTTACAATTCTAGGCAAGTAATTTTCAACTAATTTAACGTTAGGTTTTGTAAAACAAGGATATCGATGCGTCGACATCAGCTTAAACATAACTTAACCTAATCTATTTTGCAAAGTATTTTCTAATGAAAAGCTACTAATGCGGCACGTGAGTCCTTGGAAAATGTCTACGAACAATATTTGCAGGGTGTAGCAAGATGAAAAGAGGAAAAAAACATGTGCTCATCTCAGGTAACGTTTAGTGCCGTCATCTTGCCTGATACCAAGTGCGAATGCAATTTAAAATGTACAAAATAATAACAAATTAAATATTGAAAGGCACATTTACCCAAAATACACACACACAATTACATGAATAAGTAAATTGACAGTTGAAAATTGGGGGAGCCCCAGGAAATTGAGCAAAATTAAAAACAAAAACAAAAAGATAAAAAAACACGTATAATGGAACATCAACAACAATGAAGGCCTTTGGGTGTTTCCCGGAACACATTAAGAAAGCACTGACATTTAATTTGTGATTTAGGTCACTGTATTTCACTTGTTGAACTTCATTCAGATAACAAAGAAACAAGAGTATAAACCCATAAAATCTTATATATATGTGTATAAAGTATATATAACATTTATATACTCGTACATTTACGAGTAAAGTCAAATAAAGTGTGTATCTATATTATCTAGGACGGTAGATTACTGAAACCAAGACTTATAGGTCACCGTATGTCCGCCCACATCCGCCTCAGCAAGAAGCTACCTTAAAACATGTTTTCTGTTGGTTTGATAGCATTACTCAATCGTCTACGTCCGGCAGCAACAACCATCATGTTTTCAGTTGATAATCACATTTTGTAAGTAATTTGTTTGAGTATAAACTGGAACGAATGAGTTTTTAAACAGTTAGAAACGAATGTACCCTCTGTTATCTGCCTGCCTGTGACAATAATGGATGGACATTCAGCAGCAGCAACAGCAGCAGCAGCTGTCTGCCAGCGTTTTTACTCTTTTTTCCCCATATTGACAGCGACTGTCCGCCCATGTTGGCCCTGACCTGCACTCCACAGCTGTCCACAGCATGAAAAACCGATAAACAATAAATGGCTTTAAAGCGATAATAAAAATGATATAAAATGGTAGAAAATAGAGGGTTCAACTAGTAGGTGCCTATTGTCGAATTTTTAATTTGAAATGAAGTTGTATGTGTGTTTTATAATATTTTATTTATATAATCCAATATATTTTGAATTTATTACTGAAAACGAATCCCGATGGGATTCTAAATATAGTGGAGTATATAGGAAATAAAGAGAAACACTTGTCCTGGTGCCAGAAAAAAAACATATTTACATTAATTTTATATATAATATATAATTTTTGTATTGAATATATTTTTATATTTATATACAATAGGGACTTATGTGCATTTTCAGATACTATTGTCGATAGTCTATGACTAATACGTTGCTACTAATCTTCTCTTCCACTTCTTTATTGATTTTATCCCTTTGAACATTTTTAGGGGTACAGGGTAACACAAAAAAATAAAAACAACAAGGCGCAACAGGCTCCGAGTATACACACACATTCATACGTAGATAGATAAATAAACACACGAATACATAAGGTGGTCATCTGGTTATACAGGTGTACTAAACTGCAGCCGTTTGCAATTGGCTGTTGAGTGTGTTTTGTGGAGTTTAAATTCAGTGTTTTTCCTCTTAAATACAAACATATCGAATTTAAATATTGATTCGTAAGGTTGCCTTTTATTCGCAGCTAAATCAGAAATGCAATTCTCTATCAAAGTTTAGTTTGATTTAATAACAAAAAGCCTTCAGTGTACACGTTGTAAATTAAATTTGGGGTGTTTGTCCCTTTTTCTATGGGTATAGCTGCCAAATGTGTCAATTAAATCTTAATTGAATTTTCCAAAGATTTGTGCGTGAGCTTCATTTTGTATGCGGAGGCGCAAGTGAACGTGCAAAAGTTTTAGGCAATTGCCACTGGGTTCTACGTGGCGTATGATTAACGTAACTTGCCACTGCCAGTGTAAGCTAGCCAGGCTTATGGATAGTTTGCAAAGACAGCTTATTGTCATCTTATATATCCTCTATTCGAATAATGTATATGGGTATATCATGCAGGAATTTTAAATACAAAATTTAAAATTTAAATTCTTAAGATTATGATAAAATTCAATAAAATTTAAATCATATTCCATATTTTTGTACACTCATACAAATTGCTTGCTATGCTTGGGCCTATTTTAGTAAACTAACATTGATTAGCTAATGTGATATAAGGGATTTTGATTGTCTGAATAATTTATTGTAAGGAAAAATGGGGGATAACGGTTAAACGCCTTTTATTTAAATTTAAATCATAAAGTTTTTTAGCCATGCTCATAAAAAATGTGACTTTAAAACTTTTTGGATTTCACATAGACATGTTGGGCTTTTTAAGTATTTGGGTCTTAAGGCAGTTTTGTGAAAGTCATAAAATCGAACAACTTTGAATACGCTTTAAAGAAACGCAGAGAAAAAAGGAAATGTACTGAATGACCAAGCACGCACCAAAAGCGGACATCAGATTTATGCGTGGCCAGTCAGAGGCACAAAAATTGTACAAAAGGTTGTCAAAGTTTTTGCGGGCTGGGTCAGAGATGTATGTACATAGGTGTCTTTTTTTTATTTATTTTTTTTTGTGGAATTGATGCCTTTTTGTCTCCGATCGGACGGCAAAATAATTTGCGTTTATATTGAATTTTTTGTTGTTGTTGCTTGCGTTTGAAGAAAAATTGTGTGATTTGTGAATATATTTATTCAAATGGGCTCTGCTCCCTCATTTGCATTTTGAAGGCATTGATTTTAGATATTGCATTTTTGGTTCACCACCGAATCAATCAGGAAATTGACATAATGGGTAATAATGATATTTGTGTGCAAAACTTTTTATTTACTTCAAAAGCATGAGCAACGAAAATTGAAAATAAATTTTAACAAAAAGGTAAGCTTCAATCTAAATTGTTGCAAAATCGAACAGGTCCTTAAAATGTGTATTTTCTGAGTTTATTTATTTATTTAATTTAGACTAACTTCAATATACAAACATAAAAATATCAAGTTAATAAAATTATGTTTTAAATGGAGAAGCTTAGGACCGGAAAGAACGTGGAAAAAGGAAAAGGAAATATGAAAATATTATAATTAAATGGTTGTGTCTTTTTGAATTGACTAAATGGGTTATAGCATGGCTACTGTGGCTTTCAGCTATTCTCATTGCACATAGTTTATCGCTTTGTGAGTTTTTGCCATTCTAACTTACATTTTGTGGTGATGAACAGAAATTATTTATTTAGATACTAAAAGTTCACACAATTTCCAGCTGTCTAAAATTTTGATAACATTACTGAAGCACATTTTTGGGTGTTTTAGATGGTTAATATGACAAGCTGTTGACACCAACACACCCAAACACACACACACAGATGCATCCTTGTCCTGTTCATTTACGGCCACTTTGCAGTTGTTGTTGCCTGTGTTGAATGTTGTTAAAACACATTGCGTAATTTGGTTTTATGTTGTGGCCAACTTACGTTTCTCTAGCCTCGAACAGTCAAGGGCGAACTTTAAAGCGCAATTTATTTTTGCATTTTTTTTTGTTAGCCAACTGAAAAGTTACTTAGCGCTTGTTGCATTTGATTTTTCCTGGGTTGGGCCTCTGGTAAAGTTCAAGGGTTACTCACTCATTGTGAATGCAAGCAGCCTGAATGGTAGTTAATGGCTTGCACGCTACCATTGTCATCATTAGGTCACTTCAAATCTCATTAAATATATATTTTCATATTAGCCTCCAATTGCAATAATTTAAAAGCTTTTTCAAGGATTGCGGGTAATTTAATTTGATAAACTGTGTGCACTAAAGAACTGCAGCAAAAGTTTAAATAAACGTTGTGCTTCTCTGTAGCAAAGTTAAGTCTAAAGAAAATATATAAATTTTAAAAGAGAAAGTTAAAGTTTTCATTCTATCAGTAATGGATATTAAAATCAATACTAATTTCAAACGAAACCTTATGTACCCAACTGGCTCACTTCTTGCATTTAAAACTAGTGACCAATTCTCACACCAAAACGCGCACTAAAAGCATTAGCTTATTATAAATTCTGCACCAAGTCAATATCAATGAAAGGTTTCTCACGTCAGCCTGACAATTAACTCTGAGTGGCATTTTCCAGGCACTGTGACCAAGTTTTAACTGCTGTTAGTACGAAAAATCCACTAAGACCATGACTTATGCATGGTAAGGAAAGTTTCCATTCACAGTGGCTCCCAGGCGACCTATTCACAGGGGATTGACGTAACTAACTTTAATTCGATGGGCAGCCATGGTGCTCAAATTTGAAATTCATGCAAAATCCTTTTGTGTCTTCAATTAGTTAATTTGTGTTGTGCTGCAAAGGTTGCTGAAGTTGCTTAGAGATTCCCTTGGCATTTACACATTTCAAATAAGATTTTGGTGCTAAGATTCGCATTTTATTTATTTGCCTTAATTTATGCAAATTTTGTGTGAGTGCGTGTGGAGAGCAACATGAGCTATGTTTTTTGTTTTGCATGCTGTGCACATAATTTATGCAGCTTTTGTAATTGCCTTGGCAAATGGGTGCTGTCAACATTAAAACTGACATAATTACTATTTATATTTTATGTATTTTAGCTCTAATATTTTACAAAATATTTCATTTAAATTAGAAAGTACCAAATTAATTTCAACCACTAACTAAAAGTCCGACTGATGAACGTATCATTCTGACCCTCCTTTTTATTCACCTTACGTAAAGCAGCCAATGGGTAAATAGCAGAAGCTTGAAATCTATCCGCCAAGTGGCAGACCGCATAAAGTATAATCCAAATCATCATCAGCATCCGTCTGTCTGCGTTTATGAACACGTAGAGCTAGATATATTAAATTTGAAATCTAAATATTTACTTTACACGCTTGTGGAAATGCTAGAAACTAATCGCTCATTACGTATACGCTACGTATTGTCAGACGGAAATTGCACAAGTCTTCAAACAAACTCTTCTCTTTGTGTTTTTGTGTGTGTGCGTTTATATATTTGTTGTTCGTTATTATGCTTGTGTGCAAACAGATTTTTTGCCCTTCAATATATTCTTAGATTCGCAACCGGAAGAAATCCAATCACAATGAATAGAAACTGGAGTTACTCAAAAAAAAAAATTTTTATATATTTATATACATATCTGTATAAATATAATTTAATTTGACCGCCACATGGGGAAATTGAGGTTGAAGTGCAGCTGGCAATTGCATTCATTCATAATTTATTGAAATCAAGTCTTCCTCCATTGCAGCAATGAAAATCAATAAAATTAATTACACGTAGAGCATGTCTGTGTATTTGTTTGTAGTTTTGGTATTTTTTTTAAAGTTCTCCCTTTTATAGCATGGCAACATCCGTATTTGTTGGCTAATTTATTAAATCACTTGGAATAGACGATAATAAATTTGAAAAAAGTAACTTTTGCTTTTATTTGCTTAATGAAGCATTGAATCGATATTGATTGATTAATTGATAAACTGGCAAAAGATATCACCACATACGTGGGTAAGTATGTAAAAAGTGTCATTTGATTAAAAGCTACTTAAGGAAATGCCATATTAAATATTAAGCATAAGCCACGTGTGACCAACAAAAATGCCACTGTATTGGTGCACCAATTCATCAATGTGTGCGTTTCATTGAACAAACTCTGCGTTGTGTGTGTGTGTGTGTGTATAGGTGTTATATGCCGGCACTCGTGATAAAAACCAAAACAGAGCAACAGACGGTAAGCGCTCTCAGAGCCACTTCGCTCTTTGCTATTTACTCTCACGCTCTCTCTCACTCTCTCTCTCTCTCCTTCTCATTACGTTCGCTCAGCAACATTTGAGGGCAAGGTCGGCAACATGTTGTCGTGCTTGTTGCTTCGCTTCAGGCATATGCCTTAAGAGAGAGCGTTCAGAAAACTATATGTTTTCTAGGTTGAATATGAATATGAATAAATAAAATATAAATTAATTTTAATGTAATGCAAATGCAACACTATATTAATATTACATATACCTAATATATTATTGTATTAATATTAGTGTTTTATGCATGTATTCATGGACACGTCTTTTTTTTCTGCAGTGTATTTCACGCAGCGCTCGGCTCGTGTTTATGTGCGAGCAGCCGAGCACTCTCTGTTTGACGGCTACAGCCTGTTGGACGTCGCTCGATTCTGATTAGAATGGGCGCTCAGTTCTGATTAGACCGAGCGGGAGTGCACTTCGCAATCGTTTTCGTTGTCGATTTCGTTGTTGATTTCGCGCGTTTGTCAAGGCGCGCGCGTGTCTTGTGCTTATGTGCATGTGTGTAAGTGTGTGTGTGTGTGAGAGTGTGTGTGTTTGTGTGTGGTTTAATTTAACACCACGCGCTGTTAAGCATAATATTATACACACATATTTATATTGATATAAATAATTAAGCTATATATTCAAATATAAATGTGAAATTTGTTTAAATTCGCTAACAAGAACAACAGCAACAACAACAACAGCAGCAGCAACAACAACAACATCAACAACAGCAGCAGTTTTAGTACCAGCAGCGTAGCAACAGCAGGCGCCAATTATTTGGGTAGTGTATCTGTTTTTCACACAATGAGAAGTCTTAATTAACGTAAAACAAAAAAGAAAACAACAAGCGAAAATAAGTCAAAGCAAGCCGGCAAAAGACCACAAACTAATTGCTAAGTTAAACAGCAACTAAAATTCACCTGAAATGGCATACAAAATAGACAGCCAAAAAAAAAAAAACAAACAAAAAACAAAAACAAATCGAAAATCAAGTTTAAGTGTGCGTATGATAAGCTAATAGGCTTCGATTTCTGAATTCTATAATTAATTTTATAGACTCTAAGACAGTTTCTTTGCTAACGGTTTTTTATTAAGCCAAATGCGAAAGAATTCTGCAATTTATAAAATAAGCAATAAAAAGTTGAGTTGCTCTCGAATTTTCAGCTCTTGGCGACACATTGCGTCAGGTTTTTTCTCGTTTTATTTATTTTGTTTTTTGTTGCTATTTTGCAATTTTTTTCTTTATTTCTGACGGCCGGACGCGACGTTCTGCTGTATGCGTGTGTGTGTGTGTGGTGTGTGTGTGTGTGTGTGTGTGTGTGGTGTGTGTGTTTGTAATGAAAGAAATGATACAAAAGGCGGCACAAATAAATTTAGTTAGCGACTATAGATGTTGCCGGGTATATGCATAACTACAAGTGACTCGAAAATTTGTGGGTGGCATTGACTTTGGCATGCTTATAATTATCATAAATTGTAGCCTCAATAACTTATAGTTTTCATTTATCGTCTGGCCGGAAAAATAAAATAAAAAAGTTTGTCATTCTTTTTTAGAGGTCAGCAATTTTTTCTAACAACAAACATTTAAGATGTTGTTGTCCTCTGTAAAATAGTGCTCTCCAAATTCGTCTATATACAAATCCATATTCAATTTGTTTATTTTTGTTTTAAATACAGCATTCGGCGTATATATATATATTTCTCCCTTATATGTAGCCTGCTCGTCATTTAGAATAAATACAAGCAATTGCTCAACGTGAAACAGAAAGCCCTTATCTTTGGTTTACAGAAGTCATGATACGAGTCAAGCAACCATGGCAAGCTGTATATATTATAGTAATCCGATCTTTATCAAAAAAAAAGAAGAAAAAAAACAACAAGAGTCTTCATTTAATTCCCTCTGCAAGGGTATAAAAATAATCATTTACTTAGTCGCGAAATCATTTGCCAAATGTTGTCTTTAAATAAATCAAGTTATAAAAATGCTCACACCGATTTTGTTTTGGCTCACGGCTCAGCGTTAATAAATTTACGCCCACATTTTGTATGTTTTTTTTTTTAAATATATTTTTTTCTTTCAGCTTTTATCTTTATGGCAAGACAACGTCCAAATTCTATAAGAATAAAAAAGACGAAAACCATAACGCGATATATAAAAATCAACGCCACTGGGGGAAATTACTAAGTATATTTTGATAACTCGATGAGGGAGCGACCATTTCATAGTTCAATTTTCTATTATCAAAGTTAAAGTCGGTGGCGCCGATAGCGTCGATAAAATATTTTATTGAAGACCCATAAGCTCAATGAGACAAATTATATTTCACATTTCGATTTCAAATAATCATTTCTATTAACTAATTGAAACGAACTGCACACTCTCCGCGTGTCACAAATGATATTCACTAAATTAATTACCCAAAAGTCGATTGTGCTCTCGCCTCTTCGATTTAATTAAATGACAACATATACATAACTAGTTGATATGTATTTACTGTTCTGTATTTTATGAGTCATTTGGAACATTTGTTTGATTGTTATAAATTTAAAAACTTAATAAGTAGCTGGCAAGGTGATTCACTGCACTCTCAAACTCTAGCAAGCTCATGTTGCCAGGGTATGCACTGTTATCATTTTCTATATGTATTTAGTTATTGTATCAGCAGAACAAAGGATTTCCCCCATAACTATTTTGGTTATTAAACTGATTACGTTTCAAAATAAAGATTATTCCCCTATGCAATTCCATTTGACAGAAATAGCCGCAAGCTTCATAGCTGACATAATTTCAAATATATCGCTCGCTGAAATGATGACACACATATTAAGTACATTTTTCACAAACGATTTTTTTTAGATTAGTCTAACGTTTTATATGCGAGTGCTTGTGTACTGAGCTATATAAGAAAAGTACACAATTTATAAACTTTTTATTGCTCTGATAAACAAATAAATCTGTAAGCGAAATGTAAATAAAATCTTATAAGCTTACAACCTGTTTTTAAAATGAATTCTTATTAATTCTGCTGGTATTTGAACTGTCTAGAAAATTATTTTTATACACAAAATCTTTCACCGATTTTTATTTGGGCTTAATTCCAATCAATCCAATCAGAGTCAAATAATTTTACGGACACGTCGAAATTTGCGCTTAAAAGAAAACAGAAAATATATTAATTTATATCAAATTTAAATATGTTCAGTTGTGTATATAAATTGTGATTCCTGATCAATAGTGCCACACTTCTGATTTTCTTTAATCTTCCCTGAGAGACACGACTTTGTCAAGCTTAACACATTTTTGAACATTTATTTATTACTATTTACTTTTGTCTATTTGCCGTTTTCTGAACTAATACGTTTATTTGTTTACACAGATCAGTTTGGTATGCAAATTGTCTAATAATTGGTATAAAAGTTGTTGTTACTGGTAGTATTGTGTTGAATACCCGCGAGTCTCGCAGATTCTTATTTTCACGAACATCCCGCACAATATAGTATATAATTTATATATGCATATAGTATATCATTTATATAGATATACATATAGTATATCATTTAGATAGACATACATATAGTATGTCATTTGTGTGTAAATACATATTTATGTCGAGCCAAGGCGCTTAATATTTATTTCTCGTTTGAATTTAATTAAATTTGCACATTTGTGTAAAATTTCATATACATGTGTAGTCGCTTTGTGACGGGCACGGGGCGTGTCTGTGTTGAATTTGGCATCTGCCTCTGTATCTGTGTCTGTATCTGTGTCTGTGTCGACTATGTGTGTGTGTGTATTTGTGTATGTAGGTGAGTGTCTGAGTGCCCTCCATGTGTCAGCCTAGACGCCTAATCAAACAGCAGCAACAACAGCAGTGAGAAACGGCGGCGGCGAAAGCCAAAATTCAAAGCCCTCAGAGTAAAAAAAATATCAAATATAATAAACATGTGTAATGACGACGAACGAGAAGCCGCAACAAGAACAACAACAACAGCAACAACAAAAACAGCAAATGCTGCGCCACATAAAATAAAATAATATAAAATAAGCTAGCTGCTCGGGGACTATTGAAAAAGTCCCACGAAATTCATTTTATACGCTGATCGCCAATTGCCAAAAAGAAAAAAGATAAATTTAAATAAATGCAATAAAAACAAAAACTAGTGAGAATTCTCTCGTCAGGTGAGCTCGACTGCGAGATACCCTTATATGATAAGTCTAGGATATTGATAATATATATATATTTATATATATATATAATTAAAAATATATATATAAATTCTGAGTACATCAGAAAATGCTTTCGCTTGCTAATGAGTAATTTGGTAAATATAAATAAACCGTTTTTATTATGTTAGTGTATATATCCCGATAATAAAAATATATCTTTAAAGTTGTAGCTTTTATTGCTATCGTAAACCGATTTTGATCGATATTGTAAGCACGATAAAAATCACATAAACTTGATATGAGTATGATATACAAAAACTTATGTTTATGCTAATTTTCTCTACAGATGCTCATACAGATGGACAGACACACCGACAGACAGACGGATAGCGAGATAGACGGACATGTCTATATTGTCTCGACTTCTGCTACTGATCAAGAATATATATACTTTATGGCATTAGAGATGCTTTCTCCCTGCTTCTTACACACTTTTGCACATACTTCATTATACCCCATTTACCCGTTATCAATAAGTTCAGGGTATATTATATATACAAAAAAAATAAAAAACATTAAAAATGTATTTGCAGTGATTCCCTCATTTGTTGCCGCGTTTTGCGATGTTTGGGACGAGCGGGCATCAAAAGAAAGATTATGTTTTTTAATTGCTCTTAATTTAGCGTAATTAAAAATTGTAGTCTTGCATAGTTACAAAAGGGCGAATTAAATGGCTTACATAACACTGTGAACTAAATAAATGTGTACCTCAAGTATTCCAATAACTTGTATTATCAATCGCGAAACATCTCACAAATTATTATAAACGATTCATTCAAGATATTATTTAATAAATTTTGTATTTAGTGTTAGAGCCCGAGAAGACAACACTGTACAAATGGGATACAATAAATACTATGACTAAAGAAAAATCTTATCAGTAAATATTGACATGTCAGCTTTTCATCATTTTAAGCTGAAAAAATGTACAAATATACAAAGTTATGCTAAAATATTTGTATTTTGAGTATATGTATTGTGTATTTAGAAGCTATTGTACAGAAAATTCCATTTACAATATTACAACAATGGAGTGTAAACAAGACAAATACTCGTCATTTTAGCACACAATGTGAGTGTATTTATTTAAAAAAATACTTCGTTTGTATTATGAATATACATGTGTGTTTAAGTGCAATAAGGAGCCAAGAAAATATAAATAAAATAAAAATAGTTAAGAAATGTTAGAAAATGTATTTGTGGAGATTCGATAATTCCTTAAGTGTGTTAATTTAAAGAATTCAGCAAATTCCCAATTTGTTTCATTTAAATACTTAAATTGCAGAGCTGAGTCATTTAGAATAGTTGAAATGGGTGAAGAATGTTAGGAAATGAATTTGTAGGGATTCGATACGCTGTTTAGTATGTTAATTAAAGAGATTCCCGATTTGTTTCATTTATATACTTGAATTGAAAATAGGGTATCTGATTGCCGAGCTAAGTCAATTAGTACCTTCTATTTTATGATTATTAATTTGAGCAAATTTGCGCAAAAGTTGCTTGCTCTATTTCTGGCTGTTGCTGTCAATCGTCAGAGATTTGTTTTTGCACTT